GACGAATTGAAATTTGGCAGGCGTTCTTGGGAAAAGGAATAATTGTAGCATTTACAAGGGGTACTTCTTTTAATTTTGTTGGGCACTAAATGAAGAGATCGTCAAAAGATAGAGATTGTTGATTCAGGATTGAATGAAATGTTATGAAAACCAAAATTGTGGATGTCTTCGGGGTTGTGATTTGATGTTGTTTGTACCAGTTTGTGTTGATTATGTTGGAGTATGGATCTTGATACTGTGGGGACTTTTTGGAAGAAAATATAGACGCGTGTGTTGGGTCTGCTAGATGCTTTCGATGGATCTATGTGCTCACCTCATGATTAAATAATGGCATAGTATAATATCAGATGATTTCTTCGACGGTTTAATGACAGATACCGGTAGATTAACAATCGGCGTAGCACTCAGAGTCTCCTTCTCTCGCTCCTAGAATTGAATGCTATTTTGGTGAAACTGCTAACTAGGTAGATAGTACTAGACTAAGTATTTAGTAAAGACATCTCATATCTACCCACCGTCCAATAAAGCATACTCACCTAGGCAGGTACGTAAAATACAACCACGGCAGATGGACTAGATTGTATCGAGACATCTGAAAGAGGTAGTAATTTTAGCTGTATAATGATTGATGAATGACACGAGAAAGGAGCGGATGACTCAATGAAGTAAGTAGTATGCCAAGGCGTCCGCAGTGCTGAGGGGGGGTAAGCGGCCCAAGATGGAAGAATGGGCAAGAAGACGACGAAGGAAAAGAGGAAGAAAGAAGTAGGAAATAGGGTATTGGCACTGACTGGCACTGGCACTGGCACTGGCACTGGCACTGGCACTGGCATCATGTATCAATCATTCTCACGTGCGATTTTCTAGCTAATGGAAGGTAAGTTAATAGTAGTACCACCTGGTGTACAGGTCATGGAGATTAAGAAGTTGTTGGTCTCCTTTGAGGTGAGGACTGAGTATCTGGGAAGGTAGGCCCGTAGACACTTGTAGGCAGTAGCTATGCTAATTAGATGAATAGGCCGGTAGATGGATAGGACGGCACATGAATAGAGGCAAAGCTTGAATCTGACTCGAGATGGACTGATTTCTGAAACAATAAACGTAGAACGCTTTAAACTTTGAATAATCCATGAATTATGTATGTATTCTGTACATAGCTAGGTACCTAGTGATAGAAGAGGTGGAGGATATATCGATTTTCATCTGAATGATAACAGATTATCTCGTAGATAGGAAGATGATCAAATGGGGTGATTATAATTTCTATTGAAATGTAAATTCGTCAATTGACCATCTATAATATATTATCGACCTATCTATCCATGTCCAGGAATATCATAATTCAGTCTATCTACCTAGGTACATATAGTTCCCCAACGTCCCACCTGCAGAAAAAGCGTAAATACAGTAATCATGAACCTTAACCTTAATCTTGAGGATTTCTTCTGCCGAGCTCCTCTTTTAATCCTTAATTCCTCAAAACTTTCTTAGAACGACGGACTAAACCTGATCTCTACAAGATCTTACTTGATGAACACGTTGATCGACAACCACGACGTACAAAATGTATTGTATTGGGTATTTATAACGATACTACACCAATACTAACAATACTAACAATACTACCAATACTACCAATACTACCAATACTACCAATACTACCAATACTACCAATACTACTAATACTACCAATACTACCAATACTACCAATACTACCAATACTACCAATACTACCAGTACCTACTACCAATACCTACTACCAATACTACCTCCTACCACCACGTACGTGCGACTGCTACTCCCGCTACTGTGGAGTATGGAGCTACTATCACTGTCCTAAAATGAGCTGCTGAACTTCGCCTCCAACAATGGTCGAAGGATGGTGATCTTCAAATTTCAATGATGACCACAAATCCATCCTAATGGGACGCTACAGAAATCCTAACGGCAACCTGCCGATGGACGCTTCCAACTAAACATGGGCCGAGAAATCACGTTTTCGTACAATCCGTTCTCTTGGTATGATCTTTATTTTTCTTATTTCATACGGCTGGGTGGCCATTCCTTCAATGCCAATTTCCAACTGACTGAGGCTCAGCCTGGAGTCATGGTAAGGTGTTGGTTCGTGGATTCCCATATGAGCCCTAATCTTTTCTTACATCCATCATAAGGTTCTTGATGTTCCACCAATATTCTTGGGGAAAAGAAACAATTCAAATCAAATTCAGATTCAAATAATATAATAAGAAGAATATGTAACCGCGGATATTTCGTCATTTGAATCTCATTTCTTTTTTTGATTTGCATTACTCTCTTCTTATCCCTCGATTTCTTTACACACATTCATTTACTGTCTTTTTGTATTCATTCACTCTTTCATTCATCCATTCTGCTTGAGCACTGAGTAGTGGGGGCGGTTCTCTCTCATCGCCATCTAATTCTCGTCCATTCATTTGTTTGCATTCACGCTCATTACAGTGCCGAAGTATTTCATCCGGTGAATCTGAAGTTACAGTTTTTCAAACTTTTCTTCTGCTTTACTTTCCACTCCTTTAAGAATTCAATCCATCGCCAATCGCAGTCTTGACTACTACAGAATTGTCATAACATTTGGGAGAACTTAATCTGAAGATTGTTGGACAAATTTACGAGATCTCTCACTGTTAATTTGCGAATTATTATCAAAATGGTCTTCTTTCGAGGAGCCTCAGTCGTGTCTCTTCTGACCATTGCTGGTTCATTTCTATCACAAACAGCACAAGCAATTCCAAGGCCTCACGATCATCGACCAAGGGGTTATGATTATGGTGTAGACATGGGAGCACTTTTGAAACGGGATGTTACTCCTATGCCCACTACTGGAGTCTCATTTAACAGCTCAAATTCATCAATACCAGTTCGTCAAGAAATCCGGGATCTACAAAAGAATGCGGATCTTTGGGAGCTATATATTTTGGGAGTATCAATGATGCAAACTATCAATCAATCAGATATCCGTTCATGGTATCAAATAGCCGGTATTTATCGATGCTACCCAGTAAATGGTAAACTGCTAACCTCTTCATAAAGGCATTCACGGTAGACCTTATCTTCCATATGACGGAGTTCAAGCAACTCCTGGCGACGAAAATAATGGATATTGTACCCATGTCTCGATTCTCTTCCCTACCTGGCACAGGCCTTACTTGGCACTTTATGAGGTAGACATCCTATGCATGCCATCTGAGACACATCTATTGACACTTTCTGTAGCAAGTACTCCATAGTGTCGTTGTATTCATTGCAGAACAGTTCCCCGCTGGAGCCGAGAGAGACAGGTATACTGCCGCTGCAGCCAACTTCCGTATCCCATATTGGGATTGGGCTGTTGTGCCGCCCACTGGGGAGAGTGTTTTACCCCCGAGCGTTTCGACCCCAACTGTTACTGTCAATGGCCCTGCCGGTGTTCAAACGATTTCCAATCCACTGTTCAGTTATCACTTCAATCCTTTGGACCCATCGGAGTTGCCCGATGCACCTGTAGGTTGCATATGAATTATTTATTAGGAATTGCCAACTAACAATTCTTAGTTCAGCCAATTTCCCCAAACTTTGAGATATCCAACATCCAATGATGCCTCTGCTACTTCACAGAACAACCTTGTTGCTCAACAGCTTGATAACAGTGCTGCTTCGTTCCGAAACCGTCTCTACAACCTCTTCACCAATTATCACGACTACAGCACTTTCAGTAATGAAGCATGGATAACCGCCTCTAGCCCAGGAGATTTCGATTCCATTGAATCTCTTCACGATCAAATCCACGGATTGACAGGCAGTGGTGGCCACATGTCTTATATCGATTACTCTTCCTTTGATCCACTTTTCTTTCTTCATCACACAATGATCGACCGTTGTTTTGCCATCTGGCAGGCCTTGAACCCTGACAGCTATGTTACTCCCAGAGAAGCGTCATATAGCACTTTCACCATGACGGCTGGAACTACTCAAGATGTATCTACACCACTTAAACCGTTTTATAACGCCGGTGGAAATGACTTTTATACTTCTTCTGATGTTGTATCAACGGAATCTTTTGGTTATGCATATCCGGAAACACTAAAAGGAGGGAATACAACTGCTCAAGCTATCAAGGCCATAAATCTTCTATACGGGACCACTGCTCCGGCAAAAACAGTTTCTCGCGGCTTGGTTCCAGGTCTTGCTTCCAAATTATTAGGACGGGAGCACCAACTTAATTCAACATATGATCTTCTCTCCTTCGCCCTCGCCCCAAACGGTCAATACACTGAATGGATTGCTAATATTCAAGTCGAGAAATTCGCCCTTTCCAGGTCGTTCTTCATTCACGTCTTCCTCGGACCTTTCAATGATGACCCCTCGAGCTGGTCCTTCGAACCTAATCTAGTCGGCACTCACTGCGTCTTTGCGAAGCTTTCGTCCTCAGGTGCCTCTGTAGCTGATCCTAACCAATTGGTCACAGGAACGATTCCTCTTACTAGTGCCTTGCTTGACGATATTTCAGAAGGTCATTTGAGATCACTGGACGATGTGGATGTCGAACCATATCTCAGAAAGAATCTCCAATACCGAATCACACTTCTAAATGACACGGAAATTGACAACTCGGCCGTGCCAAGTTTGAAGCTTAGTGTGGTGAGCTCCAGTGTTCAACAAAGTACGGCTGATCATGAATTGCCAAAATGGGGTTCGATGATTAGTCGCCTGGAATTATTTGTCGAAGAGCTGAAGGAAACATTGGGAAATACAACCCTGAAGGGATATTAATCTGTTCCTGGGTTCATTTGCATGACATGACGGGGAGTTATGACTTTTTAATCGATTTTCTTTCTTTGGGAGATGGAATTTTTTAGATGATCCGATGATACCATTTTGCATGTTGGATATTGAATAGCCGATAGATGATACGAAAAAGATGTTGCGCGCCAATTCTCTTTAATTCTCAGTGATATATCATCTCATTTTTAAAACTTGCTACATTACCCAAAAGTTCTCCTCACTTTCCTCAAACTCAACATGAGTAAACACCCCATAAACGCAAACCATAACATCAATACTACCAGCCATCCTATGACCATAGCGTCAGTTCCCACTCTCGCAACCACACTTCCATAACTCATCCGCTCGATGAACCGCGAAGCAGTCACCGCGGTCAAATGCTGCCAGAGAATAGATGTAAATGCGAAGAGGAAGGCGAAACCGCTGATTAGGCCGAGTGTGATGCTGAGGACCCGAGAGGGAAAGGCCTTTACTTGGCGTTCGGAGGCGGTGTCAGGGTTTCGATCGGTTTTCCAGCGGGGGATGAGGGTGAGGAGAAGGAGGAGAAGGAGAGTGAGGGCAAGGGAGATGTAACTGGGGGGGTGTTGTTAGGGGGATCGGAGTTTTAAAACTTGGGCTGTTTGATAGAAGGTTGGGAAGGCATGGAAGTTAGAAAGAAAGCGCACAGTAATCCATCAAATACAATTCTTTTCCTCACTGACTCGGCTAGTTTGAGGAGATTTAGGGGATCGATATCAATATTGGTATCTGTGGTCATGGTCGTGATTATATCCTTTAATTTCGTGACACGTTGGGCACATTCCCATCTCGAACTTGCGAGTTCAGAAGTCATACATATTCCTCGGTAGCCGGTGCGGATGATGAGAGAACTATTTTGAGTATTTGGGGGAAGGAGAGAGGTGATGTTGCGGTGGAGGGTTTGGGTGATAGGGGAGGGGAGAGAGGAGAGAGGAGGCGTAGGAGAGAGAGAGAGGAGGTAGATGGTGGGGGTGGGGCGGGTGGTGTAGCTGAGTGGGAGGAGGACTGGTTGGTGATGTGGTGAGTTGGAGGTTAGAGTTTAGGTGGGTGGGGTGAAGGGATGGAGTGTCGGGGGGAAATGGGGATTGGGACTGGGCACATGTAAAATAAAGGAAGGGAGTTTTTAAATACAGTATGATACCTACCAAGACAAGTGATACCGATACATGTGAGGAGAATCAGAAAGTGCTGAAAATCTAAGCCAAAGCGGAAGAAGGAGATGAAGATTGAGAGTTTGCGGGGGAGCATTATGCGAGTTGGGAGCGGGAGCGGAGATGGGGATATACGACCTTTAGAGAAGAAATGGAAAAATTATATTATTTGAAATGAAATAAGGCGATTGTTCATAATGAGGTTGATCTGGACGATTGTGATAAGATGTGAAATGTTAACGAAGATATTGTTTGTGGTGATGCTTAGAGGGGTTGAGCTTACTTGCAGATATTATTGTGGCTTATTACTGAATTACTGAACCAATTATCTTTGCATACATGATATATACACTATTATCATACTATGCACGTCAATATTCCAAATACATTATCATCTATTTTGCCAAAACCGTTGACGGGCATCCAATTTCAAGAAAAACTACTAATTTGTATTTTATATTTTCCACACCAGAGCCCTCCCCATGAGCTGACCGAGGTATACAGGTATGCCTGTGATAGTGACATCACGCAACATCAGCAGATTGAGCATGCTTCCAGTTTTGATAGTGTATAAAATCACACACTTAATGCTCTTTTCAAATAGTATATTGCATATTACCCCGATTATCGAGAGTTTCATGACCTTCCGGTGCCAGCAGAATGCCTCACATGAAATGGTAAGGTCAAACTTATCACGAAAGCATTATTCAATATGACTCCTAAAACCATCACATAGGCCACCTCAGATCAAAAATATTCAAGTTTTCGGTGAAGTCAAGGATGGTAAGTTAATATCCTCAAAACCTCATGATTATACTCTAACCCTCGGCTGCTAGTTTCCGGCCGTCGATATCCCCGTGATATAGGTCGACCCGTTTACCTTGGGGGCAACACATACTATCTATTCGGCGATACTTTCTGTCATAGTTCTTCGAATCATTTTGTTGGAGTCTCCAACAATACTGTTGCCTATGTTCCAGATCCCCAAAATGATCCATTAACTTGTACATACATGCATGAAAATGCATATCAACCACCGTTCATCCCTCATATGCGCAGCGAAGAAGAGTATGAGAAGGACCCAAAGAATAAGGAAAAGATTAATAGGGTCGTGAATTGGGTATTTGGGGGTATCATTGAAGATTTTCCGGGAGCCAGAGATGGGTGGGTATTTTATGAGAAGATGTACACGGTGAGGAACCATTTCGAGATGCATGGGAGCAGTTCTTGTTAGGATGTGGTTTGGCTAATGATATCAAAAGCATGGATCTACGGCTGGCAAGAGTTTTGGTACAGGTGTTGCGCGAGTTCAAGTTCAACCTGACAACTCTCTGAAAGTGGACAGACTGATGGTGAGTAATGCAATTTTCAATTCATTCAAACCCAAAGAGTGTGACCGTCAATCTATTACAAGAACTGGGAGGAGAAGTTAAATTTACGACTCTTGGTCTCAAAACTTTGTGGCCTTTTTCCAGCTTAGATTACTCACAGAATTAGGGCGACAATATGCTTTTCGGAGAAAACGAGCCACATTTTGGTATAACAACCTATGTCGTAGGAGATGATGGGTATATTTATCTTTTTGGTGCGAAGGATGCCCCATCTCCGACCCTTGATCTAAAGAACCATTGGGCACGCATTCGATCAGGGTCTGATTTCACCTCGCGGGAAAATTACGAATTTCTCATTCATACTCTCGATGGAAAAAGCAAAGTATGGGATCGTTCTTACTCACTTCATCAACTCGTCAATCTCATTCCGGTCCAGGCGCAAGGCGCAATTATTAAAGTTCCGGAACTAGCACCTAAAGGTCGACCATATCTTTGGTTTGGGAACAACAAGTTTCCGGCCAATAAAATTTATATTGCATGTGCGCCGCGATTAGAAGGGCCATGGGAAGAATGGGAGGGACCTGAGATTCCAAAGTTTGGAGGAGGCGGCCTAAGATATACTTTATATCCACATGAGAGGAGTTGCCAGTTGGAAAAAGGGGAAATGAGAATCAGTTGGAGCGATGGCAAACAAATGGGTGGTATGGTTGTACAAGCTATGTTACACTTTGCTATGGAAGGAGAGAATGAGGACACTGTACAACCATCGGGATCATTACCGCAGCCTAACGGTGGTTGGAAGGATAAAGCGAAAGGGTTTCTGAACCCGTTCAAGTAGTGTAGGTAATAACATCTGAGACTGGCTTATCTTTGGAAATGCAACGTCTATTTATCAGAACCCCAAAAATACATTAGATGATTTAAGACTCTAGGGATATTTTTGCCCAGAATTCTGATTTCTCGACAGCAGTTATCAGTAAGCATTACTCCTAGTATGTCTGACTAGCATCTAACTACTTTAAACTATAGTAAAGATTGGTCGATGATGGCATACGAGCACCTATTCCGGGATTGGAAAGATAAGTAGACTGCTCAGTGCGTGACGAAAGATGTATGGTAGTGTCACAGACAGGCAGAAACGCGCCTAGGGCTGACTGTATGCAAACTAGACAAGACTTCGACGGATCTCATAACTTTAAAGAAAATTACGCAGCGGATCAGATAAGGTCAAGTGGCAGCAAGTGGATTTTATTCCGAGAAAAGTTCAACTCCGTACATGGGTTGATCAATTCCGAAAGTTCGAGGAATTGGATTTGACAGTAGGCAGTCTGATATTTTCATTAAATCTACTCCGTCATAATACTTTGATGACTTTCAAAGTTTTACCCATTGTTCGTTTCCTTTTTCTTCTATTTATCTCGTCTTTTGTCCCTCTTTATTAGGAGTCAAATATCGAATCTCAATTCAAAAATACAAGAATCTTTTCATCGATCCTAAATTATGAGCACTGCAACAAAAAAAGGTCTCGTGTCTTCAGATAACAGATTTTTCCGGCTTTAGCACGTCAGAAGCAAGATATAAAAGGGTTTCAACCAGTGCTTGATCCAGATGATGAAGCTTTTCGATATCCAGAAACGCTCAGGGATGAATTCGGAGTATGTGAATCTAGTGTAGATTTCAAACATCGAGAATGATCTCTATACAGAGCTCCTAGAACGGCCCAGATGATCCAGGAAACCCTTCTAATTGGTATTATGTTTTCCCTAGGAAAGCTAGTGACTTTAATGTCAGCCAGTATGATTGCTGCTGCTCTAGGCGATATCTCCCGCAATTTGAGGATTGATAATTATACTGGTCAGATTGTATTTTCTACTTACTTCTCGGTCTAGCCATTGGTCAGTTCGTGGCTGCCGCATTCTCTGAAGTCACTGGCCCAAAAGGTATATGGCTATTCTGCAATGCGTGGTATATCTTGTGAAATACTCTCTGTCCACTCGGTAATTCGAAGGCTTTGATTATCACGGGTAGACTCATGACGGGAATAGGAGCCAGTGGTGGTATCACGGTATGTATCCCTACAAATAGGTCCATTGATCAAAGCTCATCGGCAGGCTGTCGCTAATCTTCAAAGCTTACTGGACCTAGTATGGCCGATATGTATGGAAAACGAGAATGTGAAAAGTCGCTCGCAATTGCATCTCTTTTACCCTACTTTGGACCTGCACTTGGCCCGATCTTTGGAGATATCATCGCACAATCAGTGGGGCCCATTGATAGTCTGGATTATTTCAATATTCAACAGTTTTTTAGCCTTAGTTGGGTACTATTTCATCCGAGAATCTTATACACCAGTTCTTCTTCGACGAAAGGCCAAATCCGAAGCTATGTCTACACCTAACTCCAAAAGGACATTCAAAATTCAATATTGGCAAGAACTGTTCCCTCCATTTTCTGTTGGACTTTTCCGTCCATTTCAGATTCTAATCCGTCGACCAGTAATTCAACCAATCACATTCGCTTTTGGAGCTGGCTTTGGCATTTACACGATCTTGATTTCAACTTTTGCCACTCTTTATATAGAACTTTACAATCAGACTATAATTATCAATCAGTACCCTTCATTATATTGCAATCGCTATTGGTGCAATAGCTGCGCCTCAAGTTGGGGGTCGTATCATGGACTGGCTATACAGAAGTCTTGGCACAAAAACAACATCCACGGCAGACCAGAGTTTCGTGTTCCATGGATGGTGCTATCTTAATACCGATTGGGCTGTTTTGGTACGGCTGGGTGGCCGAAGTAACTGGCCCACTGGCAGTAGTTGATATCGGCGCATCTGTATTTACCTCAGGGAATATGGTAGTCAGTCAAGGTCTTCTTGTTTCCCAGTTGGATGAGTCTGGTAGATACGGGGCATCGGCAAATGCGGCATCCTAAGTGGATTCGAATGCTGTGGGATTCATTCTACCTATATTTGGGCCCCAGCTTTCTGAAAAATTGGGATTCGGATGGGGCAACAGTCTGTTGGGCTTCATATGAATTGTATCATGCGTTCCTATCTGTTTTGTATTGTACTACTGGGGTGACAGAATGAGTGCAATTGATAAAGAGACTGACGATGGAGGCTCTCCAAGCAATTGGTTCTAGGAATATTTTATCTATTAGAGAAACGAATACAAGTTCTTTCAAATGCTATTCATTAAGGTTGCGGCTAGACTCAATTCTTTAATTCTTTCATATCTGCTCCAAAGAACTTCCATACTTTCTTAGCATCAATATCAGGCGAATCATAGTTCAAAACTTTTAGTATGTAATCTTTTTCGTTCTCCATAAAGAATACCCCGCGGTCCTAAGTCATGCGAAAGTTAGAATATGACATCAAAATCGGGGGACGCATAGTTTACATACTTTTCCAAGAGTCAGTTTAGTCTTTCCCTCGATGAAGTTTGGAATATAATGTTGAAGTGTATTCTGGTTTCCTCGAATCAATGTAAGAATATTAGAACAAGTAACCTCCGCCTGTGCCATGCCCGCGAATGCCATCTTTGGACCGTCGGTAGCTGCAACATCTCCTATAGCGAATATGTTTCTGCAATTCTCGTTCTCGGCTTTAACTTGCAATGTTGGTTCTACACCAATGAAACCATCATCTTTGATGGCGTCTGGTAAAAGGGTTTTGAGTGGGCTGGAGTTTGGGCTTTGTCCGATACATGATATCTTTTGAAGTCAGTAATCGGGTTTTAAGGGACTTTACAATAATAGGCATCGCATACCACAAGATCAAAAGTCTCAACTTGACCATCCTTAAATGCAATCTCTGTCTCCGACGGCATAAATGGCTTACTATGAGGCAGTGAAGGTCGTTCGTTAAAATAAACTTTCACTCCCAGCTCTTGAAGTCGCTTATAAGCCGCTTCATGTAGCCGTGGTCCGAATCTAACGAGTAATCGATCTCGAGAGTGAATTAACGTCACGTTCTTATCTGGTAAGAAGCTCTTGATATCAGTTGCGAGCTCGACTCCAACTGCACCACCACCAACAACTGCAATTCGTGAAGAGGCATGAATGGCTTTTTGATAACCACGCAATTCGCTTTCACCCCCTATCTTATCTATAGCGGATAGTCGAGCCGGCGCAGGCTGCGATACACCTGTTGCGATAACGAGGTATTCATAAGAAATTTTCTCATCCGATGTAAGCTCAATATGATCTTTATGAATATTGATAGCCTTCTCATGAACAATAGATATAGCTCCTTTCGGCGCACGTCTCAACAGCCCCTCATAAGGGATAAAAGCTTTATAGTCATGATCACTCAGCACACTAAATCTCGGAAACGCAAAACAATAATGCATGTGCGTGTTTTGTTCAACAAGCGTGACTTTATATCCCGTAGGTATGGATGTGGAAAGGAGCCTCGCCAACTGCATTCCGGAGAACGAACCGCCTATGATGACGATATTCTTTGGATCGGAAGTTGCGCGGTATGTGAAACGGTGAATGATTGCTGTGATTTTTTGCTTTCCGAATTTCCATAGGAAATGAACCGCTATGTTGGCGATTCGAAAGTACAATATAAAACCCATGATGAGAGAGCCGTTTCGAGGTATTTGGTTGTATGTATTTAGTAACGAAGTGTTGCAGAATAACTTTCTGGATTTAACAGCTGGTGAAATACTCACTAAATATATACACATTAGCAAACCGCCCAAAAGAGCTAGCGACGGACTTAGGTTATACGTCGGGGTGTGTAGTTGCATCTAAGTTATCTGATCCTTTAGTCATCTCCGCATCTCCAGTTTTTCTCGGTCAATTCGGAGTTAAGTTATTTGGTTGAAGGGAACATAATGCCTTGTTTTCTTTTCTTGGGAAAATCACAAAACTGACGGTTTTTCCAGAGTCTCGGATCAGTAGAGCGAATGCGTCTCATGAAATTTCTTTCATTCCGAAGTGGAGTCGAGTAAATACGCATAAATCTTTGACAAGACCGAAAGACAAACTTCACGTCCTGCAGCTTAAAAGATTATGCACCCTTACATGAAACCTTGCATTTTTTATAGCAGCATAGAAGATCTAGACATAGCCATCGAATTTGAAGAAATACAGTCGGTTGATTAAGATGATTCGCATTTTAAATTATATACTGAATAAGAGAAAGACACATCGACTCGATAAATTGTCATCATTGATTCATTGGCCACCGGACCACACTTCTGAAGCCATCTGCACGTTTTTGAGGGATTGGATCATAACTAAGCCAAGTTGGCGACAGCAGCCGCAATGAGGATGCTGATACCACCGATCAGGAAACCGCTGGCTGCATTGATTTGTTGGATTGCACCACTGGTAGAGGTAGCCTTCATAGAAATCAGCAATCACACAATCTATTAACGAAACAAAAGAACACATACCGAAGCAGAAGATCCAGTGGCAGTGCTGCTAGAAGCTGATCCGGAGCTAGCAGTTGAATCAGAGCTAGAAGCTGACGCAGAGGTAGATGCTGCGGCAGTTGTTGTTGCGGAGTTGCTGGCAACAGTTGCAGCAGCGCCGCTGGCGGTTGTAGTGCCGTTTTGAGCGAGCATGGCGGTGGCAACGTCGGCTTGAGTTCCGGTTAATGGTACAGTAGAAGACCCACACTCCACAGCAGCAACAGTTAGATATGGACCATAGTATTGCCAGATGTCCTCGTTATCTTCGCCGGAGCATTGGAGACAGGCAGCGTAGTCGGTGGAGAAGATTGTGGTGTTGCAGAAACCGTCAATTTCAGATTCGAGGATGGCCTCGCCTATGAAGAAAATTAGTATCAATTTCGAGGATTTTACTTGGCTGCGTGTCTGAAGGGGAGACCTGATAGGAAATCAAGCATACCGCAATTGTCGTGACAGTTGTAGGAATTGGTACCGACAGCGTTGTCCTCATCTTGAAGCCTGACGATCAAAGCTTCTTGTAAAGTAGCAAGGACTGTTGGGGCGAGAAGTCCGGCAAGAGCCGCGACCTTGACAATTGATGTGATGAAAACCATGATGCTGATGGAGGTGATGATTTGTCTCAAGGTGACGATTTGGATGGTATAATTGAGCTGTCTAAGATGATGAATAGATGCATACTTGATCGGCGACGTGCCTTTATATATGAGGACAAGATGAAGGGCCAAAATCTACGGTCCCGAGAACTGAGACGCGGTCTACTTGAACCTCCACTTTGACTCACGACATTGAACATGCCAAGGAAATTTGGCAACATTCCCCCCAAAAATCCAATATGCGTCGATGGACTATTGGAATACAAGCAAAATACTTTGTGCCGTGTCCCTGTATGTGGACGTGGTCCGATGATTAAACAAACGTCGTACTTGACCTGACGTTCGTGAAAGAAGAAAGAGTGAGACGGGGAACTCAAGTCTAGGCTATTCCTATAGACGGAGATTGATTAGATTAGACGAGGAAGAATAATTTTCTGGAGTGACTTCAGAGTATCACAAAAGATTGAGACTGACTTCAACTTGGATGCTCCCGTTTATTCCAGTAACTGCCTGACCCGAGAGTTTTTTTTTGGAAAGAAGCCGAATACATAGTGGACGGGAAAATTCTTGATTCAAGTAAAATTATTCCCGTTGGTCCGAAGAACAAACCAAGAAATGTTGGCTTGACGCCAACATCATCTTGCGCTGTCACCATAGCATCAGATTTTCATCTGATAAGTTTGCACAAATTCATTGGCTGATATCTACTCCACCCTCTCCATTTTCCCGTAGTTACATCTGATTAGATGGAAATCTCGGATCAGATAAGATGTAAAATTTGGCGAAAAAGTGGGACGTGCATGAATATTTTACCAAATCATATATCAGAGTGGAGAAGGAGACCAGCCTACTTTGCTATGTGAACCCTGCTGCTGCATTCCAATAGATTCTTTTACTTGCAAAGCTTAACTTATACGTCTGGCATGACCTGTTAAGTCTTGTGGATGTTCCCGACTCCTACCGGCATCACTTCGCAGCGTTGTATGCTTGTGACTCTGTTTTGTGCTCATAGTTCAAACGCACGCTTTCACATGCGTACTTTCGCATGGAATTGAGACCAAGAGCTTTCATGATTGATACCTTGCTACGTTTCGTAATGGATAAAAACCATTACTCAGGCCAAGGTGATTGAATCTTTTCATTCTTGATTTTCAAGCTCTATGACTGTCGGGCTCGGACCCGAAATAGTTTTCGGTTCAGATGCGTGCATATATGACCCAGTCCTCTCTTGTATTGATGATTGTCGACCGCTATTCTTGGACTGCAAGAATTTAAGACACTTTGTTTCAAGATGCTGTTCAAATATCTTCCTGTTTTGGCTTCATGTCTCATTCTCAACCTTGATCGTGTATCCGGAGAAGCAGAAAAAGCGAACGGCCCAGTTGAGTTCGTCTGGCCAGAGCAACGTACTTGGTATGCTGCTTGGCAAAACAACAGTCCTTGTGGAAGAAATGATGGAACGGTTGGAAACCGCACAGATTTTCCTTTGGGTATGATCCTCTTGAAAATTATAAGCTAGTCGTAACTAACATGCTTTAAACGTACAGACTCAGGGAAAATTGCACTTGTGGCCTCCGGAGAAACCTGGGATATCGTCGTCCGCATAGCATATATGGATAGTAAGAAATAACTGACGCATCTTTTCTTCCCAAGACTAAATGTATTTCAGAGCCAACCACTCAATCGGATTTCACTACCCAGATTTTACATACAGTCTCCGAACTTGATGCCGGACATCAGTGTTACACTACACCAGACTCTCCATCCGAGATTAAAGCTGGCACAAACGCGACAATCCAGCTTGAATACACTTCAACATACGATGGCAGTGGGAACGAAACTTTTTATGCTTGTGCAGATATTGTAAGAAACCCGACTGCAAAAAGCTGAACACATCGCTGCAGGAGACTGATCAGGATATGCATTTAGACTTTCGTAGAAGAGAGTGATTTTACTACAAACGTCTCCTGTTTCAACGCTACTGTCACTGGTCCCTCCACCGAGGGCATAGCGACCTCTGTCGCAACATCAGCTGCAACTTCTACAGCGACGTCAACGGGATCCTCGACAGCTTCATCGTCTACCACCTCAGACTCGTCATCTTCGGGTTCTAATGGGCTGTCTAAATCAGCTGTTGCTGGTGTTGCAGTCGGTTGTATTGCGGGCGGTCTAGATTTGGTTGGACTTGCAGCATTCTTATTGATGAAGAAATACTCGTATAAGCCTCGATTCAGAGGAAGAGAACATGTCGAAAGCGTTAGATTGGGTACGATTGATGATAAGATCACAATGCAGAAAAGCTCTGTATAGAAGCTGGGTGGGGGATATGAAGTTCCATCTAGGGAGCTTAGATGTTGTAAAGGTTGGAGATGATTACTGTGCTTTTGATTGGGGAAGCATTCGAACCGGATAATTGGGCAGGAATGTTGGATGCCATAATGAACGTCAGAAATATTATGTGATCAAGAGAAATGAATGATGATGATGCAAACATTAAGATACCAGATCGATAAGTGCAATACGTCCGTGTATTATGTATCGCTCTATGACTTAGATAGAAATCGAAAGTAATCCAGATTTAGACATGCATCTTTGATGCAGCCACTTGATTATTGCAACCAAAATCGCAAGTCATGTCTTTACGAATTGTCAAAATGTGTCAAATTATTGCCAAGATTCAAGAAGGGTATTCGACATCGTATGATGTGGTCAAAATAAATGTCTCATCTCTCCACCCCCATTGCCTTTGCAGCAGACTTCATCCGGTACAATACTGACATTCGGCCAGCTTCCAGCGTTTGTACCAAGTTGAATTGTAAAAACAATTATCTGTTTTGCAGGGTTTGTCCATTTTATAGCGATGTCGAATATCCTTTCGAACGAGATGAGCATGTTCTTTCTAGGGAATCTGCATATACAGCAAATATGAGTCAATACTGCTTAGTCAGATGACTTAACGGAGATACCACAATCAGAAGATCGAATCAAGATTTCTGCCTGACAAGAAGAGTAATCCCTATTTCGTCTCTGCGTAAAGATGGAGTACCAAAACACGCATGAATGGTAAAGCGAAAGGTGCACCACTGGCATGGGTTCGTATAATATCAAAGATAGAGCTTGAAATAGTAAAACAGAATCTGAATTGCATGGTTCATACAAAAAGTGTTTGAAAGTGTTCTGATATTGTGTCTCCTATCACAGATAGCATACATAACCATTTGCCATAACCGACATTTGTGAAGCTCATCCAGGAACCTCATACTCCTTTCATATAATAACCTGACATCTCTAGTCTCAATACCAGTTGCCCAACTGTGTTTTCTTCTGCTAGATCCGCAACGTCAAACAAACCTCCGCTTCCTGCTTGGGCATTGAAAGTCTTCTCGCCGTAACCCTTCTTTTCTGTCAATCCCTTACATACAGTGACAAATACTCCTACTCTCTTTTTGAATTTCCCATACATCAACTGGATATCCTCATCTTCGCCTACATTACCCGAATTTCCCTTTGCTCCCGAAGCCTTCTCTCTTGAGTGCTTCGAGAACCGTAGGATCAGGCCGAATATTTCTTCTAGTAGTTGCATGATTGGTTTCTGTCTCTTCCTTAAGAACAATGCAAATAGCATCTTATCGAGCACACGTTCATGATACTCTCTAAGGCTCTCCAGCCCCTCATTTTGACCGAGCGAAAAATTCTCAGAGCCCATGCGTTTTTCAATTTCATCTAATTTTCTCTGGAAAACACCCCATGTTGTTGCGATTCCAGTGTCGAAGAAATATCCACAGACCGCAGAAACGAAATGATGAGCCTCAATACGAAACTTCTGAGCAGAGGGATGGATGTTTTGCCACGAGGATGTCCTGTCCGTGGCATCACGGAAAAGTGCTGACACAACATATAGCATTCTGAGAGTACGTAGTAGTTGTTTGAAAAGCTGATCATATTTGTAGAGAATAACGGGAGTCAGAATCGATTCCAACGGCGCAGGAGGTTTGTATGAAAGCCGTAGGAAATCTAGGGCTTCGATTGAATTGGAGTCCATACATCGTTTGATTTCTTCTTCGGACATATCTCGAACAGCAAAACTCAGATCTCCTGGAAGAGATTTTTGTCTTTGTAGATAGCTATCAATGGAAGAAAGATTCGCAGGTTCATATGATGCATAACTTTCGGTGAGAACGCCCATTAATGCAAGTCGTAATTCAGAGCTCGCTGGTGGCCATGTGTCTCTACCACCGAGTCGTAAGCCCATGGTTCCACCAGATAAAGCCACTCCCTTTTGTCTCTCGGCACTTTCTAATTCCGGGTCAAATAGTGCATGAGAGAGTCGACTTGAGAAAATACCGTTTCCCAACAGATGGAAGTCTCTTTGGAGTGATAGATGATCTCGTAACTTATGAGACTTGAAGAATAATTGCATGCAAACAGCGTTGACCACTCTAGCTTGCGCAGAAATGATTGGATTGAATGAGAGTATAGGGGCCAGCGAAATGGGCGGGGAAAATATTGATTCATCCACTCGTGAAGGGTCCGGACCGAATGAAAGACAATCCTGTAAAAGACGTTCAAACTTGACAGGATTTAGTGGCTCCTTTAATTTTGAGTCCAATCGATTGATGGAAGCTGCAACACGAGTTTGAATCTCTGCTTCGGGCCGGCCGAAGAAATCCAGATCAAAATTGTAAAACTCATACCTGGACTCGGTCGCCGTGGGTTCCATCGTTGAATGATTCTCCGAGAACTTTCGGAGCGCGGTCGTCAAATCCTGTTCGTATTTCAAGGCTTTAGTTTCTACATCCAGTATATCCTGCCAAGAATACCTCCATTCAAGGGCTGGTGGTGCAACTGACTCCACAACCTCCATTTTCGACAAAGGATGGTCTATATGGTGAGTCCGTAGAATTCGAAGGCTCCTACCCACTTCAAACATTATTTGGGCATCTTCAAGTGGCATGAACGAAGGAACATTTTCAAGGTCCAATACAAAGTCAGGTTCATTTAATTCGAGACCAGCTTCATCCACCCATTCTTTGTTGTCGACTTTCACAAAGCTCTTCCCAGAACCATCCTTGGTTAGCGGTACGCCATCTTCTCTTTGTAACCCAAGCCATTCACCTGTAAATTTAAGCCAAGGTATTGATACCCTCGACAGCATTTCAAGAAGAATATCTCGGAGAGAGTCTGTCCTATGTTCTAGAAGTTGGATCTCTTCAAAAAGCGTTGAAAGTATTGCTTCATCGCTTTTCTTTGGCAATGTCTTCGTCACCAATCGTTTGAAACATGTAAGAACTGAGTGAACGGGCTGAAACAATGCTTGCAGCTGTAAAATGCTCTCATAATCAGAAGCGCTTACATTCAGCTGTGACTGGATTGTTGCAAGAACAGTTGAAATAGACTCCGCCATGGCAATTCGACCTGGTGACTTGTTTGATGAATAGGTCTTTTCGACGAAGTCTTGAAGAAATCTGGTAATGTTTCCGCACTCATAGAAAGGAGCCAAAAACCCGGTCAAAGATTGCGCAGTGTGACCAGAGACTCGGAACTTCTGAAGGGTCGCATAAAATGAACGCTTCTCTACGTCCCATGCGAAGAACATCGAATTTCTACCTAGTCCTAGTGCGAGAACCGAGGCAGCGAAGATCTTCGAATCCACCACATCATGAAGAGTATTTCCTGCACTCAAAAAATCTTCTTCGGCAGCTAATGCGGTATCAAGTACTCGAGCTCCAGCTTCGGTCAAATAAGCCGTTTGAGGTTCATTGAATTGCTCGATAGTAAAAGAATCCCATGTTTGATAGTTCACAGGCTCCTCTAAAGGCTCTTGCTCCTGTACCATCCAAATATCAAAGTCTTCGACTTCCTCGGGCCCCACCTGTTCGTTGCAAGATGTGTCGCCAAGAGGTTCATCAGATTGAGATGGAGAAACAATTGGCTCTGCTGGGCCTATAGACAGTTCCGGTATACCAAAGAACAATTCATCATGTTGACATTGCTCTGCAACGTCTGGCAGTTTAAAGTCAATGGCTGTAAATAATTAGCACAGTATCTTTGTTTACTTCACGCAAATAGTTGGAACGAACCAGGGAGTCTAAGATCTGAGAAAAGACTATTTGGTTGTACTACATCATCAACACATCTAGATAAACCCCAAAGGTCTGGTATAGCAAACACATCTCCCGGGTCTCTTTTGTCATCCATTTTTATCATCTCAGCTGAGATATGAATGTACTGTGCTCCCAGGCGGGGGTTGTGGATAGATAGTCAACGCGCTTCAACGCGTCTGCGGTTTAGGCGGACGTTAAATCCGCTAGCGTATTTATTGCAAAAGGCTGATGGTGAGGCTGAGCTTGGTTGCAATTCGATGTCATGCTTCAATTGATCATTTAGTAGTAAAAGTAATACCGCCAAAATGCCACCGAAAAAGAAGAAAGGAAGCACCCGAGCCGCTTCGACGCCAGTTGAAGACCAAGATGCCATGGCAATTGATACTCCAAAAAAGGCCGAACCACCAAAACCAAGCTACAATATCTTGAAAGACCCATGGACGGATGAACAAGAAACCTCATTGTTCAAGGGTATTGTCAAGTGGAAACCGGCGGGTAGGTCGATAATCAGTCTTCAACGTATGGTTTGGCAAATCAGATGAATTAATCATTGAACTCAGGTATGCACAAACACTTTCGCATGATTGCACTTTCAGAACATCTACGGAATCACGGTTATGATCCTCGTGTCGAACAACATACTCGGATCCCTGGCATATGGGAGAAGTTACGAACCTGTTACAATTTGGATGTAATCGATGATCGCGAAAATTCATTCGATTACGAAGAGGATACCGAGGCTCGGTTTCCCGAGTTTACATTACCCGACGAGGTATATGGAGAGATGTGTTTCATGCGAGGGAAACGAACGGATGAAGAACTAAGTGAAGCCCCTTCGTCACCTTCAAGATTGATGGAAACTTCGGAACCAAAAGAATCACCAGAGCCCGAAGTTCATGGAACCACCAGAAAAAGGAAGAGGGGAAAAGAGAGAGCAAGTACTGTGGACACAACGGAGACGAGAACATCACCACCTGCACAAAGCTCGCCACCAAAATCTACCAGAGCGGGAAGGAGTGCCAATAGAGCTGCGGGAAAGGCGAAAGCAGAATCGAGTTCGAGGCAGCAGAGTGTTGCAACCGTCACAACCGTGGAAGATGGAGCTGAGGACGACGAAGAAATCGATGAAGGCCTCGAGGGAACACCGACAAGACCTAGAGGGGCGGATACAAAGAGATCTAGGGCACAATCTTCCAACAGGAAAAGCAAAAGGAAGAGATAATGTAGGCGTATTTGTGTATATCTTTATTGTATTGAGACATGATCATGAAGAGCGAGGCGTTCTTTGGTGGTTGCTTATACTTGTACATAGTGGTTCGTGTATCATATGGCGTATGGCTTCATGGCATGAGATGGAGATCGGACTGGATGTTTTAGTAGCACTTATACAAACAGCATGGCTGGTGTGAAGAAGTATTGCCCTATTAAAAGTGGCTGGCCTTATACTGTAGAACAAAAAGCGGAAACGTCTTAAAGAGCTTCTGCTCGGTTTAGAGGAGATGTGATTACGAGACGATGCATATATATGAGCTGTATCTATAGTTTATATCAAATTTTCAAAACCCCATATCACGGTCACAACTAGATCTATTGCACAGCCACAAACTTTTGTCTGCCCAATGTTGAGCCGCCTTCGAAAGCCAGCTGGGCACTCACCAATAGAACTTCACCAATTTCTAAAAACCTTAAAACCCTGGCATGAATTCGCCGCCAAGACTTGCCGAAGCTCCAAAGCTCAAGATTCGCAAACGTCACGATTTATCTCAAGATAACGACTATTGACAGTTTAATACAACCATTGAAGTTGCCCAATATGCGTCGCACATTACGGCAATTTGCAGCTGTTAAGCCTGCCAGATATCTCGAGGCCAACACACCCACTGGTCTTACTGGCCTCCACACTCATCCCTCGCCCCGCTCCGCTCTACTCTACCTTTACGCCTCTACCCTCGACAAATTGAAAGAATTCCCCTCCACATCTCTGTACCGCCAATCCACCGAGGCCCTTACAAACCACCGCCTAAAAATTGTGCAATCTGTTGTGCCAGCTGGATACGATGAATGGGCAGCGAAGGCAAAAGAAACTCTTGCTGCGCATCCAGAAGTTTTCACCACCCCGGAGGGTGGCATACACTTTGATCAGGGGAAAAATAAAAAGTTGAGCGCGGGAGGCAAGGTCTTCGTGCAGTCGGAAATTGCAAAGGAGGTCGATTGGAGTAAGGAGGAGTGGGACGGAGAGGAAGGAAGTGCAGAGTTGGAGGGTGTGAGGACGACACAGGAAAGAAAGGGACAAAGTGTTTTGGCTAAAGAGAGACCTGGTGAGGATGAAAAACAGGTTGTCTGGGAGAACGAACCTGCGTTGAATGTCGATCAGTGAGTTTGATTTCTCTGCTTAAGATGAGATGTGCAGGTACTGACACGCGATGGTAGAATCGAGGAAATTGAGAATAAGATTGGCGCTGGATTGATCGAGGAGGTCATTCAGGTCGCCGAGGGCGAATTGACCCTCACTAATGTCTTATTGAAGGCCAAAGTGTAAGTGAAATATCTCAACTCCTTTCGATTCTTGACTAATTGAAATTGTAGATGGGAGGATCTCGAGGAGAAGCCTGTCGAGGGGCAATGGACATATTTCATGCGCGACAGTGGCACCCCAACTACCCAACAACCACCTCAAAAGTAATGCTCTACTTAAAGATTCGAAACCAAAGATTATATAGTAGAGTCTGTACATAGAATAAATACATGCAATGAATATCCTCCAATAGAACTTCATCCCTTCGTAATGATATAACCATAGTCATATCTGCAAGTGCAGGTACGCATTTAACCATTGATGCCTTAACTTCTCAAGTTTACATGGACACAGCATGTAACACTAAATTCTCAAAACTACGAGCAGGCAGTCATCTCATCAATGCCCCATCAAACACTCGACGATGAACTACTTCCACCACTCCGTTTCTTCACCTGTACTCCCGGCTTCACGCCAACAATGGTCCCCAAGGCTCTCACCCACCCTAACTCCTCATTAGGCTTTGCTGCTCCCCACCAGGCTGGGCTGCGGTAAATCCAGGTGGTGGAGGAGGAGGTGGAAAGCCACCGAAATGTCCTGGTCTAGGAGGTACAGGTGCGGGTTCTTGCCTTCGCGGCTCCGGAATTGGCCACATGTGCATAGTTATCGACCAACCAGGCTCAATAACTGATTCCCATACTTGAGGGAGGATAATTTCGCCTGTGGGGCCAAGGAGATCATAGTGGCCATCATTGACGTGAGGACCAATGACATCGACATGAATGAAGGCTTGTTTCACTCATTCTTCCATTCCCTAAGATGGTAGCAGTCAGCGAGGAATCATACAAGTGTCAAAAAGCGATGAGGATTAGTTGTAAAGAAGAAAGAAGGAAAAAAAGGCATACACTCCATGTGGATACTAAATGGAACCGAAACATGAATTTCCTTCCCACGGCGTCCTTGAACTTTATGGCCGGTTTTACTCCCTTGTTATCGGATGCCACAGGGGAATAGGCTCGATCTTTTCCATTGGCAGCTTTACTTTCTGCAGCTTTTTTCTTGTATTCTTCTTCTGCTATTTTTCTCGCATATTCCTTTTCCGCTCGCCTTTTTGCATGTTCCTCTTTCATCTCCGCCATTCTCTTATGACGTTCTTTTTGCCTCAACTTCTCAAGATATTCTAGTTTCTCTCTCTCTCTAGTTTCGTTCTAATACTTTCCTCCTCTGACAATTCTTCTGGTGATGGGGGCAACGGTATGTGAGTAGGATCAGTGCTGGGGGTCGTCCGCCTTGGATAATCATAATAATTTCCATGACGGGCCCATCGTATTGTAGACCGTCTTCGTTGTCTTCCTCTGTCTTCCGGAACATCATCATCATTCTTTACGATGTTATCTGTTGCAAGTTTCCCTTTCTGCTCTTCAACAAGGTTTTCATTCGTTCTTTCAATTACATGTTTTCTCTCCTCAGACGTTACAGAATGCTCGGATCGGCGCCGGCGATGTAAAATGTACTCTCGCTTAACATTGCGCTCGTAAACATCTCCACTGCCTGGATGTTTTCTGCTTCTCCTTCTAGTCAGCTCCCAGTCGTCATTTTCTCTCATGCGTCTTTCCAAAGAACGACGTTCACGATCTGTGGCATAGTCCGAGTCTGCATGACCTGGGGATGGAGATCGTTCAGGGCGTCTCCCCTCAAAACTGTCTTGCTCTCGCCAGACATCTGAATCTGACTCCAATGGAGGTAGTGGTATCCCTGCAGAGTCTGGTGTAGATGGATGTGCTGGAGAATTGGCTGGATGCGAATGGGCTGGGACATCGAAGTCATCAATTATACCTGTTGTATTGCGTTTGCCCTTTTTGCCCTTTTTGCCCTTTTTGACTTTTTTGACTTTCTTTGAAGGAGATCCCCAGCTTAGCTCAGGGACTATTGGTTCAGGAAAAATTTGATCGGGATCGGGCAGCGGAACACTAGTTGGGGGTGTTTTTGGCGGGGCTGGTCCGGCGATTGGAGAGTGATCGGAAGCAAGAGACCCCGGAGGATTATTTCCAACAGGCATGGGTTTCACCGGTGTAATCTTCGGTGAAGATGAAATAGAATGAGATCTAGAAGGGGGAGAAGTTGGGGGAGGTGGAGGAGGTGCAGAAGGTGAAGATACATGGTGGTTTGAATGTTTAGGATATGATAGGACGTTCTCTGGATCTGATTTTCGATCCAGAGGTTTGCGTCTCCAAAACCGTCAACTCCACAATCTTGGCACCTTTTTCTCTTTCCTGCGAACTAATAAATCGCCATCTATGGATAGACCTGGAGGCAGACGAGCACTGCCTGTAGAGGATGAACCATCATCGCCATCTATGGATAGACCTGGAGGCAGACGAGCACTGCCTGTAGAGGATGAACCATCATCGCTATCGCTATCGCTATCGCTGTCGCTATCTGTATAGCCAACACTGGAGGAAGAAGCAGCTCTGCGTGGATTCCAAATATCAGTGATACGCGACCTGAGAGGTTCTTTGATCCCTGCTTTGTATGAAATGATCTCACTGCCAGAAATTGATGACACAACCATATCATCAGCTTCTGCCGTCACTGCAGCAGACCCGTACTGTTGAGCAAATTGCTCCAAGGTCATTCGCCGAATACTATCCGCATAAATTAAAACTGTGGTAAGCATACATACTGGAATAGCAATGACCCAAAATATGAAGAACTGATCTCCACCCGGCTGAAAATTCCCACCCATCGAAAATATTGCCGCAATTATGGAGAACGGGAGCAATACCCCGCCAAGATAGGTCACTCTGTTGATGCTTTGGCGGGTTTCTAGATCCAAGGCTTCTCCTCCACGGATATGCACTCCCGACTTGGAAGAAGCCGTGGAAGTGGTATCATCGTCATCCCCATTTTCGCTCCCACTCTCAGTTTCGGTCTACATCTCAAGACCCTCCTCCACAATTTGTCCCCGTACAAATAATTCTGCATAACGCTTTGCTTTCTCCAAAAGTCTTTTAAATCCTTCCACCCTAACGACATAACGAGGGCTCCGGGAATCCTCAGCACGATCCAAAGTCCAAATATTAGACTCTATTAGATCACACACTTGATGTATCTCGTGATAGGGAATTGATCTAGATGCACACGCATGTTCAATTACCTCGCTCAAGGCAAATTTCCATTGTCTGAGTACGATATCAGCAAGTATCTCTGTAAGGTCATCCCAAACCAGGATGCTACCTGGCAATTCTATAGAGTTGAAAATATCGTCTGCTAGAGTCAAAGTAGGGTCATGTTTCCGGGATGGTTTCCATGTTTGCATTCCTTCCGGAAGACTCTTGAGGGCATTTGCAAGAATACTATGGTAACCCACAGTCTGAAATTGTGCGCCTCATCTTGCCCAGGGCTGATTTTCGAGAAGCAATAGTACTTTACATAACTGCCATCAGTATATATTCTGCATTGAAAGAAAGTTTGATAAGTTTCACTCCCATCTTCTTCAGGAAAGCACACTAAAGTCACGTGACATAGTTTTACACTTATTCCATTCCAACCTTCATTGGAGATCCCGATCGTTTGACACGGTAGCATGAAATCACCCACAACTCCTTCGTTGGCTTCGGGCAGCGGGGTAATGTTTGCCGTAATCTCAACATGGTCTAGAGCAAAAGTCCGAACTTTCTTCTCATCCTCTGGTCTCCTTGAAAATTTCAGCTTATTCAATTGCCCACTCTTTCTCATCGCATGCGAATCAAAAATATCCACATCTATGTTGAAGTGTGACCCTAAAACTTGTACATATTCAATTGGTAAGCCTTCCAAAACATACAGTCTCCTCTCCTTTTGATGCGGTAAGGCGCACTTCAAGTGATTTGAGAGTTCATCTGGGGTTGTGAAAAACTGTCTCGTGAGGCTACCATTTTTGTCTTCGGTGAAGCACGATGTGTGTGGTAATTCGACGTTGAAGCGTGGGGGGTTAGGAAGAAAGCTGGGACTTGGAGGATTGTCGCCTTCAATCTCGACGGCAATGCGAGCCATTTGAATGTAGCATTTATTTATTCATTTACGATGCTCATTATGTGGGCTTCTTCATTTCTTATTGATTCTTGCGGTTAAAGGTTGTGCCTGGCAAGAGTAATTGCGCCCCCAAACAGCCCAGACAACATGGACAGGGGGCTGTGCATTAGCGATGAGCAGCCACCGATATACTTCTGGTTCCACGGAAAAGAGAGAAAGTTTATAACATTTCCAAACATATATGTGCTGACTATTGCTGTTTAGATAGAAATTTGAATAATTTTCCATGATTCAATAAAACGAAAAGAGAATCCTGTATATGTCAAGACTTTTGAATATTGAATTGGGGTGATAAGGGCCGAATTCTAAGTCTAGTATGAACACAGTCCGTAATATCACGAAATAGAGGGAAGTATTTGCGAGAGAAAATCATCAAGATGACTGGGTAATATCTTGGTACAGTGTATAAAAAAGCTAATGGTTGGCTGTGGGATTAGATTTGTCAGTCCCTAATATCTTGCTTTACGAATTGGATTCAATATCGTCAGTTCGTGTTGGTGTACATAAAGATCTCGACACTTCTATATGATAAATTCATATGCCGTTGAGGGATACATCGTCAGAAGCGAGACATAAATCATAGGAGCCACCCTTGAAATCTAATACATTTTTGCTGCGTGAAGTCATCCCACTGGCCCTTAACTGGAGGCATAAAGGTATCTGTGTTGTGTTTTGGAATTGTTCTACAGTACCAACGAACGCCATCATGGCGCGTATGTGGATGTGTGTTGAATTTCATGAGCTTGCTTGCCTGCTGTCGATGTCCAATCTCATCCACCAACACTTTTAGAATTCTAGCAGCTTTTTCATGATTATTAAAGGGCCTTGTTTGCACTTTTCAACCATGGACCCTTCATCTCTAGTCAAGATTTTTCACATAAATTTACATAAATCTTCCAATTTCTGTTCTCATTTCCAATATGGGTTCGCCAAAAGCACATCAAACCCTTCCAAAGTCTGTGAAAGAAATCGTTTCGCCCCGAAAAAGTTTTCACAGCCAACTGTATAGCTTTTTACCGTCAATGTAATTAAATCACGTAGTAGTCACTTCATTCATAGAAACATTTCATGAACCGCTTAGGCTGGGTTAGGGCACTGGCATGCTAGTATTCAAGCATCAGAAATGTAAATGTCATCGAAACTAGTTGAGAAAACTTTCCAAAAGATCCTAATTTCCATAGATGAATTGGTAGCAAGCCCTAATAGACGAAAGTGATCGACAAGAGTCTTCAATGTGATTGGTGGGAATCAGATTTTATTACTAGTGTGAAAGCATGAATGATTCACTGCATTTTGGAAAATTAGCCCCTTTTTACTTGGCGAGATCATTTTCAAAATGAACTCAATTCCGCGGAGATTCACACCATTGATCAAAAATTGGACAACGAGGAGGCCATTCCCCATCAAATTACCTTGAAATCATCTTAATTGTAAGTATAGAGATACACTCTGAATATCGCAATACAAATGAAAAGTATGAGCCCGATTGAATGCACTCCTGTCATATTGGTCCTGGCATTTATTACCTAGGTAGTTATCTACCGGGCCAAAACTAAGCGAGACTAAGGAGAAGCTAAGTGCAGACGAGATGTAGTTCTAAAGAAAATCTATGAACAAAAATAGTTATGACGCCTTGATGATTGTCAAAATTCAGTCATATCGCACAATTGATCAGCATTCATACACAGGTGACGACTTGGTATCTGAATGATGTATTCCTCAAAGATTAATTGGCTGGTCGAATAGTAAGAGCCGCTAGTTTATCTCCGTAGTTTCTACTACAAGCTAAGTATTGAAAGTAGGAACAGAGATTTCAAAATTCGTGATTCATCCTACACTAGACCAAACGGTTTGAAGCTATCTTACCACTTTCGGATTTCCTAAATCCGATTCTGACTGTGATACGTCATGTAAGAGGAAATCTGGCATCTTCTAATGTGAACTAGGAGCTCGAAAAACTTTGCGGGGTTAGTAAATCGTATAGATATCCTGACTTATCTAGCCTGAATGGAAATCCGAGGACTACTTAAGAAATCCTTCAGCACAATTTTACATCGAAACCGTATCGCATACACATCCTAGACCATCACTCATACAACTTCCATATACTGATCAGATTTCTCAATCACCATCTCTTCAAGTATATCTCATACACAATTACATTCTATCATCATACATACCACATTATCACCACCAGTCAGAATCAAGTTCTTTTCTCAACTTAACATAATTTTGATATTCACAACCATCATTACCGATTCAAAGGTCTCTTTTGATATCACGTTATCTATATTACATTCAATCTATTACTATCATTATTACCAATTCAAAGATCTCTTTGAATATCACGATACTTATATTACATCCACCCTATTACTTCACAATCACATACGATTGTCTTACACTCTAGTCTATCATAACTACTATCACCAATATCAAATATCGCCTCACACTTAACGACATTTTGTGTTTATCTCGAATCTACGCCTTTACCGCCACAAATTCGAATAAATCTAAGGAAACTACATATCAAGTCATTACAAACCTCGACATCGTCTCGACATAAAATTCTTCAATAGAAAGCAAACAATTCACTTATTTCAAACTCCACATCTAATTTCGCAATGTCCGCTTCGCTGTCATCGCTTCGACAATCGAGCTCCCCCAGTGGAGTTTTTCGCTTCCTCGATCTTCCTAGCGAAATCCGCAATAAAATCTACGACATGGCAACATGTGACATCGAAGATCCCGAGCCACTTGATAATCCAGACAAAATATCTCTCAATGTGTTTAAGAATAATCTTAACACTAATCTATTCTTAACTTGTCGTCAAATCCACGACGAAGCAAAATACGTCATGATGACCAAGAATCTTTTCGTCGAAGTCCAACTATCGGGAGTAGGAAGAAGATTGAATAATGAATTCAAGCACATGCTTTCTCTATACAGAGTCCCAGTTGTCAGTATCAAGGAAGATATAGATCCAGAAGAACGTTCTTTCGATGGCTGTGTCGTAAGATATCGCGTATCTTGTGATGAACAAAGAAGTGTATGGGAACGAGACTCGATTGATGCCTTGGTCATATCGCATCGTCACATGAATCAATTCCTTGAAGCTATTCACCAGACTCAATGGTTTATCTCAACATGCACAAAGACACGTTCGTATCATGATATCACACTTCAAAACCCTTTTGTCTCCAGGTCCACACACGTTGGTGACAGTCGCAGTCACAGTCGATTTTCCATTGAGGCCTTACAGAACAAAGAAGAAGCACTTTTATCTCCATTCTCCACTATCAAAGAAGGCCCAACATATATTTCAAAGGACTGGTCTGGATCTTATGTACAACACGACAAGACGAGACCTCCCGTCGTTTCCTCTATCACCACTGAAAGCGTGTTGGAAGACTTAGAAATGTTAATTAGAAAGGGACGAGACCATCACCTTCGAGGTATATACTTGTATGCCGAAGAATTCTACAAGCTTACCGACTACAAAATTTCAGTTCTGATGAGCTCCCTTCGCAACACGACAGTCACCAAACTTTTTGAAATGGAAGGACTCGACCCTGACGATCAATTAGCCGAAAGAGAACATTTTGAGGATGAACTAGCCGAGATATACTCCACAGTATGCTACCGTCGTGCAGAAAATGCTCTTGCGGATATGCGTCGTCTTGTAGATAATGGTTTGGGTCAACACTCACGCGATGCGTGTGACATTATCCACAAGATGGCGTCACAAGGTCGAGCACCCTTATCATTCCCTTTTTTCGTACCAAATCCAGAGCGAATTGCAGATCACATATTCATGGAAGCTGTTTCATTCAGGCTATGGGAAGAAGTACGCAGGGGCGACCGATGGAGTATCGATAAGGCTTTGGAGAAGGTAGAATCAGGTCTCGAAATGGCTCCCAATCACCCTGGGTTGAAAGCCGAAAAATATCGTATCGTTCGTCGAAGAGTGGAATCGATCCTAGATTTCTCTATCGTTTTGAACGTGGCTCATCCTCCATTGTTCGCTGAAAGTACCTAGTTCTACTATGAGTAGTTTTATTCAACATGCACCTTGGATTACTAAGAGAGATAAAGGATTTTCTTTTGTCGTAGCATCTGAATGATTTGGTATTGCAGATGGATGGACGCACCTTCTTCAGTTATATGATTTGTATTATTTTGTGCTTAGGCTACTATGATGGACGGTCCTAAATGAGCGAGGACCCTCTAACCTGGTTTTATTGTATTGCAGATGGATGGATTTTTTTTCTTTTCAGCAATTTGGATTGTTTTGTGCTTAGGTTGCTACGATGGATGGTCTTAAATGAGCGAGGGCCTTCCAAGTTGGTTGTAATGTATTGCAGATGGATTGTTATGCCTTTTTTTTCAGTTGATGATTTGAATTGTTTTGTACTTAATCTGTTACAATAGATTGCCCCTAACGAGCGAGGGGCATCTAAGCTGATCGTTGTTTGTTTGTTTGTTTGTTTGCTTGTTTCTCGGAGTACAGTACAACAATGAATTGAAAGCATTTTCGCAAACTTTGTGTGATGACCACTACCAAAACAAATTGGTGTTGTGCCAAATCTGTCTGAACCGATCCATGTGACCTTCAATAATTCAACCATATTTGATACAGATTTTACTTCACTCTGCTCTGATTCAGTGATGTACTCTACTTATATTGATATAGAATGGGACAAAAGATCATAACGGCTAAACTTTACAAGAACAGAATCCTGTAAATTACTCTCTACCAACAACTTGTTTCTTACCGCGACGATGATGATACGCCACCCACCTAAGTCTGCATTATGATGCGGAAAACAAATTATTCCATCCTTCAACATCTCTGAAACGTAAGAGATGACACCGCATATACATCGATATTCATGACATTAGGTATCGGCACCAATAAGATGTATAGAAAAGGTAAATTTACAAAGTATCAACATATATATGAGTCAAGAACGTCAGCATATACACTATCAGCCGATTACCCCGCCCCCTCTTTCACCAAACGGTCATGTGATGGGATGATAGGAAGCTAGGAATGATGACTGGAAACTGCACAGCAATATACAAAAAAGTAATATGCAGGGTACTGTGAAGATAGTGATGATTTAGTCTTCCCTCTCGAAGGGAAAGTACCTCATGAGCTCACTACTTTCAAAAACGAGGCACATGATCAAGAAATTTCACCAAGCTAGTCTTATCTAAGTACCGGCAAAGCGACGGCAGATATCATTGGATGCCCGCAAAGCATCAATAGCATCAATATTAAAGTATTTACTCGGCGTAGGGAGACGCGCGTCGTAAAGGCTCATCAATTTTGAGATAAACGCGGCGATAGTTCTGTGCGGGAGGCGTGGGGGTTATAGAAGCCCGCGTTATACCTGGGCTATACTATCACTAGTGAGTTCTTGATAATTCTCGACAATTCCGTATTCCAGATGTGTTTGCAAGTAATTGAAGCAACATTACGTTTGGCATGAATCTGTTCCCTTTGGAATACGTTCGTCAAGACAATGACTTTGCAGACAGCCTGATATGTTTGCTAGGCTTGCAACTTTTGGTAGGAAGCTCTGGAAGATCCTTTTCGATGTTATGTCGGATGAACCAATAGTAAAGTTTATATTTGCTGATCTTGAGGCTAGACTAAACAAAAACGTGGGATGAGCCTCAAAAAATTATCCTACCGAGTCTACCTCCCTGCCTCGCCTAGATTTGAAATTTAGTCAAAGCGAGAAATGATTTTGGTCGGTGCTACGTAAAAATCTCCGACTTCAACGTCGGTATCCATACGCGCCGGAATACTCACCGAGAAGTTCAATGGTCATGCCATGTATACTTTACCAACGGCCCCATTTTCACCATCATCTGCAAAGCTAAGGATGCTTTGAGAGCCGCTGATCTTCATGACTCCGGCTTGGATACTCTGCCGTCAGTTAATTTCCAGAAAGGGCCTTAGTAGGGAGACAAACATTCATGTCCCTTCTTCTGCTGAAGTCATCCACGGACAGAAGTTTCTTTTTGACGGAAACTACGAAACCCCCTAAATTATTCTCCCTTGAGCGGCTCCATAGTGGTAATGAAGAGTGCGACTTGCTTGGAAACGCGATGTTAAATTGTTAACCAAGGGTTCTCACATAGTTCCCCGTCATGCACGAGTGTGAACTTGACCTCTCCGGATCATTGACTCGAATCACCGAAAAGCTCACGAAGATCATCTCTTTTGACATTTCGAAGCAATTTGTGGCGATACGTACACTAAGTTCCAAACTCTAAAATTGGTAGTGGCTTTTGGATGAGGTGGCCGTAGAGATGGCGTCGAGCCATCTTATCTGACGAATAGCCAGCTTCGAATTGATCAGAAATGAGATCGACATATGCAATGGCTATGAGGTCGTTGATATTTTAATGCTATAAATGTAGTTTCAACTGGCGTGGAATTTTTCGCAGTACATCGGGATCGAGACTTTGACAAAGCTGTATAAATTATTGCACTATTACAAGGCCGAATTAAAGTTGGAGAATGCACACCACCTGATATATACCGTTATTGCAACAAGCCCGTTTCTCATTTCCAAGTACTGTGTATCAACTTTCGCCATGGCTTCTATTATTCCCCCCTAGTTTTTAAGTGTATGTCATGGCCAAGTCACCGGTAAAGACGTGAGGGACATGATGGAAGAAATGGAACATATCTGGGTCGATAATGATGAGACCAGTTTAAATGCTTTTGTGAAGGGTGTATGTCCATGTCTGAATTATGCACTTGGGTCTAGTAACCGAGGCGAGCGAACTTCCGCTCAATGGATTCAATTTGTATTTCATGACTTTGTGACACCAGACACTGCTACTGCTACAGGATATGTTGCTTTGATTAGGATTTATTAAGAGCACTAGCTGACTTTATGAAGTGGTATGGATGTATCAATTGGCTTGAAAGCACTCGCGGAGAAAATCATGGACTATTTGTAAACGATTCCTTACCTTTCTTCAAGCCAGTAAGATTTGTCTGAAACTCTGTGGTTTATTGAGGTCAAGTAATTATCATTCAAAAGACGGCGAATGCGTATTTAAGTATGAGTGACAATGCAGCTTTAGCAGTTGTCGCGGTTGCAAAATGCGGTGGTTCTAGTTCGGGAATAAAATTACGCGTCGGCCGGATTGATGCAACATCGGCAAGTCCAGCTCGTGTACCAGGACCGGCAAAATATTTGAACACAACTCTTGCTCAATTTGCAGCAGCTTGATTTTCTACCAGTGAAATCATCAGTCTAACAGCATGTGAACATTCATTGGGCCGTGTTCACAATCCTGATGGCCCAAATGTTTTCAACTCTGCTTTTGTGACAGCGACCAATCTCGACAGAGTTGAGCCGTTCGACTCGACTCCTGGTGTCTGGGATCCAAACAATATCAATGAAATATATCTGACATCAACGCAACCATTCAAAGTATGTCAGCGGAGGCAGCATTTCAAAAAACCGGAAAAAAAAAACACAAAATGCAAATCGTTGTCTGAGAAAATGATAGGAGTTGTATCCAGTAAAGTAACCTTCTCTGATACAGTCCAACTTATGGAATGGAAAGCAGTAGACGTAATGATGGATATCTCCTTGTTTGGAGATGTTTCTATCTCAGGGCTTATCCGAAATCTCTACACGACCACCCAGCCTCCAAAGAATATCTCTTATAGTACAACGTCTTCCACTGGAAACTCCTCAACTGGCACCAGCAGTGATTTATCTGGTACTGGGACTTCTATCTTCGGCTCGACTATCTATTGGCCACTCAATAGTACGATTGCTCTCGGGACGACCACTTTGTCTTTCAGCAATGTGCCTTGTCCAGTCAATGGCAATATTTTTGTCTTGCCGGCACAATCTTCCTTCTACTCAAGCAGTGGATCCATCATTGTCAAAAGTGCTACATTAACATCTGTTAGTGGTAATGAGGACATGACAGCTGTTTTGTATGTTCCCACCAAGCAAAAAGGGACCATAAGTCTAAAGATTGTACAGCAAAACGTAACGTTGACTTCGTTTAGTAACGCCCGAGCGTATACTCTGTATTCAACGGGTACAAAAAAGGTATCTTCCACCGGGACAGTAATTATCAGAGTTAGTCAAGGTGGTTCCTCGAGCCGAATTGTGAAGAGTACCACATTTGGTTCAAAGTTTGCCTCGATTCTCAGAAGGTGGGTGGGTATAATGTGGCTAGGAAATGAAAGCCCCCACTTTGATGTTATGCGGATAATAGATAGTTTATCATATAGGTATACTGAGATGGAAATGATGAATGATAGTACTTGATCACAATTTCGATTGATCATATGATCGCTAGTTTCGGTGAAAAGAAATGGGTCAATACAGTAAGTAACGCTAATGACATGATGAAACGAGTAACACTTTTGCAATCAATGTTCTCTTTTTCTTCTCCCCATCAACATCTTTCAATCAAAGACTTCATACCATTTTGGAATTTTTTACCTACTTCAAGTGTCCTGTCGCCACTTTCGACTTCTCTGCCATTGAATTGTTGGTCACTTCCGTTTCCATCACGCTCGTTCCATTTTTGGATGCGCTATGTCCTCTTCTATCACGCCACTCTCCAGAATGGAATGATCCAACGTTGTATTTCAACGGTATTCATCCCAAAACATTCTTTCTTCATTCTTTCCTTCTTGTATCGGGTGTCGGCAGTCAGCATACCGAGTTTAACCTGTCATACCCTCCTACTTTCTCACGCCAAGCTCTTGATTGCTGCAGCCACCGCAAAACCCTTCATTGTGTCATTGGAATCACGTATAGCTCGTATTTTTTGTGGTTAACAATCTTCCTCTGGGCATTCAATTCTTTTCAGTTCGCTGGAATCAATCACAAGACGATAGAGGGATGTCTCAAGCTGCCACGTCGCACCTCACATGCAAACATAGAGAGGAAAGCCATGAGATTCCCGTAAAGTGCAATATCCATTGCTTAGGGTGCTGTTTCCGAGTAGGCTGAAAGTTCTGTACTCGGGCAGAAGAATAAGAACCTTTCAGATTGTGTGACAAGCGCCTCTCATATGAGCTGTAGTCTGACTACTCTCAAGGGTTTCACGACAGCCTTCATCAGCTTTCCAGAAGTCTTGGATGCAATGTAACTGTCATCACATTTTGTGTATCGCAACTGGCCAGGTTTCTTCCATGGAAAGACTTTTGCCAGTTTGCATGAAGATTTACATCACAGCCTCGTTTGTTTTACATGGATCTTACAGGGTTTACGAAAGCCACATGAATCAATCTTTCAGAAACAGACACGCAGGAACAAGGAAATTAATTCCAACGACACTTGGCATCTTCCATTATTAAGCAAATATAAATTATCTTAACAAAAATTTCGGGACCAAAAATGATCCAACAAACAAACGTGCAATTAGCACATCATCAAGAGCCAATCCTATTCCCGAGTTCAATCCATGCCAAAAGACCGATACTGTCCGTCCTTCTCAACCCAGATAATCGGGTTGTATCCCATGCGCCTATGCTCCGATGCCATAATTCCATTATTTCCCAAAAGAGGTAACCCCCACTTGGTTCTGTCGAGAGGGTTTCCAAAGCATAAAAATAATCGTCCCCATGCCATTGTGTGTAACTTTATCAGCTTACACTAAGACAGGATGATAGTTCTCTCCTAAAGACAATCTGTAACCTCACACCAACCGCAATAGTCGTGATCGCCATACTGCTCTTCTTTGCAGCATTGCACGCAGCAGTTGTTGACAATGGGAGTAATCTCGATGACTGCCATTTTGTTGTAATGAAAGCAGTAGATTTGGAAAGAGAAAGAGAGGTGCGAATAGGCGTCTCGATGGTATGAATGAGATGAAGAGGGAGTTGTTCGGTATGCTTGAATCGATGATTATTTGCTGGTGATAGAAGGCTGAAGGTTGGATTGTTCGATATAAGAGAGGATCAGGGAGAAACTTTTCGAAGCGGATGATTGAAGCTCATTCTTAGATGAGGATCTCCTTGATATTTATATACTTACATCCAACGTCAGGCAACAATAGATCCCTCCGACAGTCTTTGCCCAGATTCTTACGATTATTTGGTTATCAACACCTGCTCACCAGATATCAAAGTAGCCTGTTTCATCTATTTATTATAATAACGCATGCACAAGAGAAGCAACAGACTAGGGGTGCATGTCACAGCCTCGGCACCCATGTCCTGCCCTGCATTCGTTAAGCGGTGAAGAGTGAGGCTTCCATCGTCATCAACCCCTCTCCTTTTCTATGCTTCCCTCTTCGAATATTTCAATTGGATCACAGTGTAAATCCTGCCATCGAGATCCACTGTCGAATTTGCTTTGCCTACCTCCCACCTACGCTCACTATCAACACCAGCTCTTTATCAATCGACGGGCATTTGCTACCAAACATAATCCTCATATGGTTAGTCAATGGGCCGGTCGAAACAACCCCTTTTACAGCTATGCGGGGCGCCTTCATACCTTGCGTGTACATCTAAAATGTGCGACTACTGGTGCTGCAGTTTTAACTACCTTCGTTGGATCTCTTAGCAAAGATTTCAAAGACGCAACAGTTCTCGTAGAGTCGATGATGCTACTTATTGAGACATATTGGAACGGTACAAGATCCAAGGCATTTCGAAGTCTACTTTTCCGGCTTTTCCCAAAATATTCTCTCATGCTCCACGCGATTTCTCCTCTTCTATTTTCAGCCCAGAATATATTGGCCAACCCCTCCATTCACGCCACCCAATATGCGGTTTCGATCTACTAGGGTACGCACCGACTGATATTAAGCTCCTGCCCTACATCTTCCCCACTACAAGCTTGAATTTCACGAAACTTAATTATCAAACTTAATTTACGATGCCGGAAGCCCACACATTGCCGCCCTAAGTCTATCTGTGCAGACATGTCTGTAGGGCGATGTGGAGTAAATCTGTATTAACCTCAGTCACAATAATGAAATGCATCTAGTGACCGATGATCACTGGCACAGCTAACCCCCAACACTACCTTCTCATGTAAATCCATGTTCTAAATCACACAATCCATGACTCCTGTGTTTCTCTCTATTAATTTGCATCTTAATCATCATCGGCACGAATTTAACCCCCAACCAACATTTACATAAGCTTCATCAACGTCAACGGGGGGACGTCGGACCAACTTTCGGCCTGACCCTTTCTGTCGGGGTGCTTCGACTTCCCTGTTGAAAACTCTTGAACTTCATGCCACAAACCGAATCGGGTGCGGGTAGGGGATGAGCCTCCACGTTAGCCAGGGTTTGACAAAAAATGTCTTACATTCATTTCAGCATTTCCCCTGAGCTCCATATCTCTCTGTAAGTACGAGAGCTTCTCAGCCAGCCCAAGGAGCGATCATCATTACCAAACAAGTATGATTTATCTTCACAGCTAGAAGCTCGACATGATCACAACATGAGAGTCGTGTGTAGAACCTGTTCAGTTTCTTGCGTCTAGAATGAGGATTTTGCTTTCTCCACTTATGTCTTATGGGAATTGCGTTTCTCACTTCTAAATTGGTATGTACATACATATGCATTCCTGAGCGCATGCAAAAGAAACTTTCAAGGCTTGATTGTGTAACAAAACTGCATTTATTGTGTGATTACAATGGATCATTCGTACAAGTTCTGTGTTAGGTGAATCCCGATGAAAAGCCAAATTATTTGTCCTATCATCTCGATCATCTTGAACGCTTACGATTTAATACTTCAGTCGGAGTAATAGATTTAGATACCACTGAGCTGCTGGCTTATCCCTGGGCTATAAATCACCAGTTATAATGTGCACAAGTTCGAATAACAACCATTGGGGGTCAGATATACGATGTAGTATGTGGATCTGGACATGAGACGATTGACTTGACATTCCATGTCAGATATCACCACTGCAAAAGGATCAAACCACCGGGCCACCGGCTCTAATGTATCCAGTACACCACTATGCTTGAATGGCTTGACTAAATACTCTCGCAACAGATATCCCTGAAACTTCGAAAATCTATCACCTGAAGATTGAAGAGCGTTATACGGAGCCGGCGCAAGTTTTACACTGCTACCCTCTATATTCTAATTCAATCTAACCGAGTATTTGCCGGAAACTTCTTCTCCTTGAAATTTATATTCCCCCTTTACCCTTCTTGAAGTTGACTGCATAATAAACCGCTGCGCTCCCGAGAGAGTCTCGCCCATTGAGCAAACTGCCGTTTTAGTGGCCAAAACCGGGTGAGGTATGGGTTGCGAAACCCACCAAGTTTCTTTGTGGGGTTATTCAATCTATATCAGCTATCAATCCACCCCCACAATCTAGATACCTTCCATTTATGGCCCAATATCGCCTCTGGGTTGTCTTTTAATTGCTTCTGGACATTACCCATTCCAGTCTGGGCCATAATTCGCAACACCCTCCACTATGACCCCTCAAAGAGTGCCACACAGGTTTCCCCACGATCTTCAAGCACTAGAATCGCTTAAATGAGCATATATCCACATTGAGACACACTGAGATCGCTTGTCTGGTACGTACTAGTATTAGCTTCTAGATTGGCATTTGCACTCCAATAAGAAATGCAAACGAAAGCTGAAATGGATGGGCCGAACATCATCTTGTTTAGCCGTTCCCATCATAACGTGTCTTCAATCGAAATAACCCGTGTGTGCCGACTTAGCTCCGCGTCAAGTAATCACTGTTCAGACCAGGGCTAGAAATCTCTATCACATCACGCTTATTATTTACAACATTTCGTCACAATTTGCTCTATCCACTTTCCGCGGGGCTGAAACGGGGAAGCTTGTCGTGTAGACAGGCATAATACAATTTCATTTCCATCTTCAATGCACTCGGCATTCTCACTCAGCCAGTTCATCCGCTTCTTGTAGAAAGTATCGTCAGCAATGCAGGATCCATCCGGTCATTGATAGCGATGATCATCTCGGGACGGCTTGCCAAAATATTTAAACCTCGACCAATTTTCAGCTCTGTCTGAGCAATTTGCAAGTACTAGTACCTACCTAGTGAGCCCTGGCCTCCGAACCTCTCGCCAAATCTATCCCCAAACACCACTCTTCACGCATTATTCAGAAACAAAACACACCAATCTGGCACGCGCGCACGTGCTCTATTGTGACCAACGAACTGCATGCATTAAGTAAGGCTATGCTATGCTATGTTATCGTGGGGGTCCAATCCATCCCATTCCATCTCATTGCTCCAGCCCCGATAGAACAAAAGCTCCCAGCCTTCCACTAACCCCATCCCACGACTCTCGGGCCGCATCCTGCACTTTCCTCTGAAACATTCGCGAGCGATTCTCCGAACATGCGATCCGAGCCTGTCTGTACGAATCGTCGATGCCACACGATGCTGCACCACGCCCGCGAGAACGAGGGTCGGAGACGGCAATGATTACTGGTATGTGCGAGAGCAAAGGTCGGGAGGCGAATCGTCAGATTTGGATCGTAATGCAATACAGAGGCAGAGGCAGAATAGAGACTCACCAGACCAAGCTGGATATGCATACGTAAGCGCTGGAGTTCTTGGATGTTCATATTTATGGATGGGTAGTAATGAGATAAACAGGCATGTTCTCCACACTTTGATCGTAGCATATCACATGGTATTAGAATCTCACATATCCGCTATCATATCACATCAAGACCCAAGAAAGATGCATGAGCGAGGCGCGGATTTGTGGCACCTTATCCCATCTTTCCATGATGTGTGTATATTATCTTCTTTACCTGGAGGCAGGTATAGATAAGATTGCGTCAGTCAGAATCAGCAATCTAAAATCGCTATCTCGCTGGCTATCGCTATCTCGTGGATCCAGCACAGATACTGCACCACGCAAAGCGGTAAGTTGGACATTTTATTTGTGACTCTCACCGAGCGGAGCGGGGATGAATGGTATGGATATGGATCTGTGCCTCTTTCTACCTCACTGTTCTGTTTAATGATATGGTTCCAGTAACAGAACGAAGGATCGCGTTGCATATGCAATACTCGATTTGGGGAAATGTATAGAGTATCACATTATTCCGTTGCTGAGGAAAGATAGCTCTTTGATGCTCACCGACCGACAAACCGTGCCTCCATCTCACATTTCCCATCCCCATTCCATTCCCCTACCTTTTGCCCCTCATTTTTCTCGGTCCCAGAAAAGTAGGCAATGAAGGATTACATTGCATATGCAGACATAATGCTGCACCCATACTTGGAACAACAGCGCTCGGTATCAATTCAACAAATCTCTAATTTTTTGATCCATGAGGTTTCCAGATAAAAGTAAGGCATTTGTAGCCTTAACGCTCACAGGGCAACAAAACGTGCCTCTATTATGCATATTCTCGAGTTGCACAATACTGTGGGGTATGCTGCGTGACTCTTCGATATATCGTATCCCTGTTTGTAGTCGAGGGCTAGATGAGAGGTATGACAAATTGTGGGGAAATGGGTAGGCATAATATCGTGTATTATATGATATAAGATGCGCATATACCTCAATCGAAAGCGACAGTACATCAAAAACAAGTTTTCCATGCGTGATGAACATGGCAATAACTCCGACCCATGTGGCAATAAAAATTAACAGTTTCACTATTTTATATTCTGGGGCTACAACCGCTTCATTGTCCGCTTTGAATTAAAATGTACAATCTTTCATATGATATCATATCACCTCCCTCTAATCATTAGAAATGTCCCGGAGCCTTTCCAAAATATCCACCGGGAGATACCTTCAGATACGGTATCGAATTCGAATCATCGGTATCAGAACCAACATTATTTCCCCACCAGCTAAGCGTTATATTATTGTATGTTAATGCGAAGAAAATAATGATGGTTGCAAGTGCTGTTCCTGTATCCATCGCGGCTTGGAGAAGATCTATACGGGTTGTTAGATGCAAAATGCAAAATAAGTAACGGGAGGATTGGTGAGGAGCGAGGAAAAATGTGAATGAGGGGCAAGGAATATACCTACAATTATATCTCTTCCACCACGCGAAAGATCTCTTCCTGATCAAGAAATTGAACAAAAATCCAAATATAAACCAGAGCGAATACTGCGTCGTGTTCGCCGGTGGGATATTTCCAGCCGCGTTGAAGAATACCGGTACATTGATATATCGTACCCAGCTATTAGGATACCTCCTATAAATGAAATAGACTGCAATTGTAACCACCGGTCCAATAAGGAAGAAGTAAATAATACTATTATAAGTCTGGCCCGCTTGGAACATTCTTTGAGGACCAATTGTTCCCCAAATAAGCGAAGCATTATACACGACTTTTGAACCTGCGCACGTGAAGCGCTGTGTATTTTTCGAACTGCATAGATTTGGAATATGTCCCAACATCCATCTCAATACACCTGTTTGGGTAGCAGTTGCTAGGACCGATGCATATACCTGTCCTACGAAAAGTACACGTGGAGGAATCTGCATGTATTGACCCAACTTGAGATCTTGAGCGAAATCCAAACCGTGTTTTACAGAGTTGTATCCGTAGCATTTAACCATCATGTTTGCGATAGGTTTACCAGGCCAGGCATAGCCGGCTATCAACTCGGTGATGATATTGAGGAAGATACGCTGATTTGTTGTGCCTTCGAGGATTCCTTCGGGGATAATGAGTGTGACTGCCATGCCGCAACATACGACGATGAATCCCCAGACTGGAAGACCTGAATCCCAGTATCGAACTGTGAAGATGCCGAGACCAATGATAACAACACTCAGAAGGCCGTACCACCAATTGGGCACTTCTTTGTAATTGTTCATGAGTCGTTTATGGATATCTTCACCTCCGGCTCGAGAGTTTCTGAATTTGGCCCATATTTCAGCTCCGCTGTAGAGGTAGGTGTGAACGACTATTGCCGTGACGGCCGCAAATGAGAGAGCGTAGGATATCGAATACGACATAGAGATATACATTGGAGAATATTCTTCATATTTGCCCAGGACAAAGTCCAGGTTGGAGTCGATGACGCGGGAGATATTATAGCTTGACCCTGTGTTGTCGAACGTGCTCGAGGATAGTAGTGGGAGACTAGTTTTTTGTTAATGGGCGAGATATTACGAAACTAGGTAGTATGGTACTTACTATGCACTATTCCAAACATTACTGTAGTACAAAATAGGTGATAAAAATAGATAGAAGATTACTACGGCCGCAAATGCATTGCAGGTAATGTAGAAAGGTGTTGTGAGGGGAGTACCGGCATATGTAATCTGAGTCCAATCGAAACTAATTGGTAGCAGACCCAAACCAGAATTCATGCCAAAGATCGTATTGACGACTTGATTTTTCGGGACGATCCAAGTGATAAAAGCAAATGTACTCAGACTTGTCCAAAGGTAGTCTGGGAACCAAAAGATAACAAATGCGAGAGTTGTGAAATAGGAGAAAAATCGATAACGGGATAAAGTCCAACCGTTGGCTGAGAAGTGTTCTTGAGGTTCATGTAATGAGCGGAAAAGAACTGTGGAGGGTAATGCAGCAGGCCAGATGAGAGCTGCCGGATAGACGATCCACCGGCGGGCAAGACCTGCAAGGCCGAATCCAAGCATTTGGGTCGTTAAAAGAAAAGCAAATGTGAATCCAGCACCGTTGTCATGGTTCCAGTAAACGGGACTAACGATTGCCACAAGAGCGCCTGTAGCATAGGCAGCGCTGGCACTGATGTTCACGCACTTCAAGATTATTAGTTCTTTCTCGGGATGCAAGAGTTAGGGTGCAAATATAGACTTACAATGACTATTAGGGCATGTTCTTTCACAGAGAATTTTCCCGGATTGATGTCTAATGATAATGCCCCAAGTGGTACTCTCCATCGAGGTAGTTTTTCCCAGGCTCGTCCAATGGGGAATACTAATAATTGTGCCACAACATATCCGATACTCAAGGAAGGCTGTACTTGATTAGCAATTGTGTTAAGGCCAATAAAAAATGCGTATACTATAATGACATACATAGCGTAAAGCAAAGAATTGATTAGCACCAGCGAAAACGATGACGAAGACAGTCATGAGCACCCAAGCGCGAAATGCTATATATAGTCAGGACGAAGAACAACCAGTCATCATAAATCAGCATAAATTTACGTACTGTTGCAAGGAATACTTGGATCATCTGTATTCAAGACACAAGCAGCGACCTCGGGAACTAGAGGCATTCATGTAAGTCTCTGAAGGTCGCGAGTTGGAGGTGTAGAAAACTCACAAGGTGACTGATTACCATCAACATTCCATTGAAAAGCCTCTGTAGGTATAAGCTCAACAGCTTCAACTTTCTCACGGAGTTTTTGTTTTTCGAATTCTAATCCTTCTCCCTCGAGATCCGCCACGAAGGGATCGATAGTGTCTTTTGTTCCAGCTTCATGTTGCCTATCTGAGTGTTGAATGTCATTCTCATCATCCGGACTATCAGATGAGATGTGCGATATTTGGGCAGACATTGTAGCGAAATAGTTGATCGACTACCCCAAAGCTCGAGGAAACCAGGCTTAAATGACGAGGACAGGATGTGCCACGAAGAATCATGAAAAGGAAACATGGGTTTGATCCCGGTATATAAACCACGAGTGAACCAAGACATACTATTTCTACACTTCTCTGTTTTCTGAATTCGCCGCTGGCCATACCAAGTTGCGTGATATTCACTAGAGATAAGCAATGGGACAATGCTGGAAAGCATTCACACGCACTTGGTGTAGATGCCCCATACTTATGGGGTAAGATAAGAGCTCCATGCAGTACTATCCCAATTCATCTATCAACCTTCCGAAGACCAAAGTGATGAACGTTGATAAGACGAGAACTCTATATAGCCCGGCCCTCCGAGACATCTCAATTCGTATCTTGAAGATGGGAGTATATCAAACTCTTTGATCATTGTTGTTACGGGGGGCTACTTTAAATGTCAAAACCCCACAAAATTGTAGTGAAATTGCCTTCATGGCGTGCTCATCAAAGCGGATCTCATTACGAATACAATATTGAGATGAGGATAATTTGTCCGGAAAAGAGAAACAATGTGTCGATAGATTGCCGACCAGATTACCGGTAAAATCAACCAGTGATCCCTGGAATGGCAAATATGAAACCGGCATTCAATGCATGCGAATTTCTCTTGCTGAGATTGAAGAAACCTACCTACCTAGGCACGTGCTAGGTACTGAATTCATTATTTTGAATATTCAGCTACTCGAATCTAGGGCTCAACCCTATTAAAGCTATTATACATTGAAGATGACATTCAATAGGATGGGTTTTAACAAGATGGCTCCTTGGTTGAATTCGAAACTTTGGCTTGGCTGATTTTGAGAGAGTCTGAAATCCCAAATCGTCCTCATACATTGACCCCCACTTTGTCGCTTCAGCGGGTACGGGGAAATTCCCCTTTACCGCTGATTCGCCGGATAAGTCGATCAATCAATATAAGACCGGCAAATTCAATCAGAGCACACCACCAGAAGCCAAGATTACGCACTAACAATACCACAAGGATATTAACGAAACAACGTATAGAGTTGTAGAAATAGCAGGTAACACAATCTTTCTTAGTATATGAAGTGCAGACTACTCTTCGAATTTGTAGAACTTCGAAATCCGTATGGTGAAATAGCAACGGAAGCTTCTTTGGATCTGGACATCAGTCGTCAAGATTCTGAATTACTTCGCTAAATCTTATTATCGTCGATGTCATCTTCGCTTCGTTATCATTGGTATCAATACAGAAAGGAAGCTTACGCAATACAATCCATTAATCTATCCGTGATTTATGGATTTTCTCTTATAACCACTGCCAAAACACGCCCCTCCTCCCAGAATTGCAACCTCTCTGGAAACTCGATCCAGAAACACATCGTACTATCGCTACTTTTATTAGGTAGGTAATCTTCCCTAGTGCAACTGCAAACGCTACAAAACTCTAGCCCGCCGCTGCTTCTCGATGCCGAGTCGTATCAATTGTAATTCAATTTCTTCTGTCACAACTGATTTGACGCAAGCTTCGTCTGGCATGCTACCTCATCAAACCTGCGAATATTTAGAGGGGTTAGAAGGAGGAAAAAATTCCGATTCTGAAGATGAGTCATAAGCCTCAAATGCATATTATCAAGAAATACCTCTCGTTTGACCCAAGGAGGGTCTTCGATTGAAACTACCTATCAACTTTTCGCGTTCTCTCTTAAGTCTGAGAATCTATACAACTTCTGTTCTGTATCAAATTCTTCTAGTTGTTTCATCATGTTAAGTGATCTCTCGAGTAAATATAAAAGTGTACCTCTTCGCGATATACGCTTCTGATATCCAAGGGGAGTAGCTACCGCTATGCAATAACATTTTATTTCCATGAAAAATCAACAATAGGAGTTCCTAGCTATAAAAGTTTTTTTCATTGACAGAAGTTTTCTCTCCATTTCACTCCCCTCTTCTGCCCCTGTTTGTCACTAAAACTATCAGGCCTACCAGAACCTACACTCTAATCTTTCTCCTTTCTCGCTCAAATCTATACCCTCTCTTTCCCCATCGTTTCTATTGTCCTCTTCCTTTTCCTCCCCTATCTCCTCAAAACAAACCATCATAACCATCTCTCCACAGCCGAGCCTCCCTCTCCCCATTCCAAACTGGCAGCAATAGCACCCATATCAAAAGACTTTCCAATAACACTATATACATCCATCACACTACACTATACACAATTAAAACTGCATCTTAATGTATATTAAATACATCTCATCTCTCACCATACCGCACTAACGTCCTGGTTAGCAACGAATTCAAAAGCAACAAAACACTTTACAATACAAACACTACAATATAACCACTCATATAACTTATATAGCCAATTCATCAAAAGAGAAATCCAAATCCAAAAAGCATATCTATCTACATTCCAATCTCACTCTTTCCATTTATCTTAATGAAGATATCTATCTAGACTCTATCTTCGCACGTCAAATCCATCAATACACAACTGAGAATATTAAAGATAGATGAAATGGATATGAAAGACATCTATAAAATCTATTCCATCACCTTAATCTCCTCAAGTAACAAATTCAATATGCACGAAACACACCCTACAATACAAAATCACCAAGAAAGAAAGGATTGAGGGAGAGGAATTTGAAGGGGATTACACATCTATCTTTCTATATATATATATACATATTACATAAAACACACAAACAAACAAACAAATGAACTAATTCCCCCTCAAACTTCTAAGAAAAATAATCGGAATGAAAAAAAACAGGAAATAAAAGCGAAGTACACAAATGTCTCAACTAATCATTCTTTCTCACGTCCCGGCTTTTGTATAATATCTATTTGCAGCTATCGAAATTGAAATTAATCAATTTTATCACAGACATATTTCCAGTCTCTTTTCTCATCCCTTTTCTCCTCTTCCTCTTCCTCTTCCTCTTCCTCTTTCTTCATACACACATCCAGGAATACATTTTCTCTCAAATCCCCTTACTATCACCGTCATCTTACCATGCCTTACCAAACAAAAAACAAACAAACAGATACACAGCATCACCCCGCACTGTTTTTCTTTTCATCTCTTTCATTTTCTCGTTTTCAATTTCTCATTTCCACCTCTAAAATCCAAGGCCCAAGATCTCAGATCTCAAATCTCAGATCAGAAAGTAATCGGTCAGCTCTCTGTATACACACGTTCACACATTCACACAGACATATATATCTACATATATCACTTCTCGTTTCCAGACACACAAAAATACACTACCTCCTACTTATACTCATATTTACAACCCTTCTCAATCTCCGATTCCACATTACCCTAGATTCAGTATCTATTTACAATCCAATCCAATTCAGTCCATTTGTTCCCCTCATTATGTGTATCACATATCACATACCACACATTACCAAACCACCATAACCCACTCCCCTCCCCTCCGCTCACGCAACTCACCTCCACTCGCCCGCCCGTCCACGCAACCACATACATATCCGCGAAATACGTCCGTCCCGCTTATGCCATCACATTCCTGTACTGAACATAACAATCCCATCAAACACCCCACCCCATACTTACCACTCCCCTCCCATTCACTTCTGCCGCACATCTCTCCCGCACAACCTCCCCTCACATACAACCCCCCACAACCCTCCCCTCACATCCCACCACCCCCCTTCCAAACACCCCAACCCCCCCTCCCTAACCGAACATCCTACCAAATACCCCACCACCTACCATTGAACCCCACATCCCACCCCCAATACCAAGAATTCCAATACCACCCTATAACCTAATACCAACCTCTGATCCACTCATCTATCTATCTGTCCATACCAATTATCCATACCAACTTCTCATTTTTATTTTCATTTTCATTCGTCAATTCCTTTGCCTCTTTCCCAGTATCACCCAATTCATCCGTCCGTCCAAATTTTCATTCTTTCATTCTTTCATTCTTCCTTTCTTCCCCCCTCCCAGTCTCCTCATCCATGACCTTAACTCCAGGTAGTGGAACTAATCCACCACACTACAGCACACCACACTACGCCAGCCAATCCAATCCAATCCAATGCAGCCCAATCCAGATAAATTCCCCTTCAGCTCGCCATGCTATGCATCCACACAACAATCCAACCATCCATACACCCATACCCCTCAACCACTAATCCGTATATGCACATATGCAATACCACACCCCCCCCCTTCCCTTCCCTTCCCTTCCCTTCATACCCACATCCAGATCTAGATCTTCACCTCGCATATAGATCAAACCTCGCCTTACCCTAACCAAGCGTAACACTCACTAATCCGCACCTGCGCCAGCACCAACATAAGTCAAACAGATAAACCAAAACCAAAACAGATAATCCAAAACAGAAAAACCAAAACCCACCCACCAATCAGCAAACCACAGCAAACCACACTACACACAAAAGCAAACACAAATATTAGTAACTCCAGATCCCTCTCGATCTCCACCCCAGATCTCCAATCCCAACTCCCAACACCCATCTCCCATCTCCCAAAATCTAGAATCTACTCACTCCGAAGTAAGCAAACCCACACAAGATATGCTACGCTATGCTACGCTATGCTATGCTATGCTCAAAACTATAGCAAGCCCAAACGGCAAACCGATAAAACCAAATATACGCGAACCTCTAGATCCCTCTTTATCTCTCTCCTCTCTCCTCTCGATCTCTCAAAACCATTACTCAAGAACTCCAGAAGCAACTCTACTCTACTCTACTCTGCTCAAGTACTCAAGTACTCACTCCAAACAAAGTCCATATTAACTTCATAATAATCAAAATTACCCAGTTAATTCCATCTAGCATACATCCACATCCACATCCACATCCACATCCACATCCACATCCGCCGAAACCCATCCACTCAAACCCATCCACTCAAACCCATCTACATCTACATCTACATCCACCCACTCATCCCCATACGATACACCAACACCAACACCAACACCAACTCCAGCTCCAACCCTAACCAAGCAAGCAAGTCACCAATCAAGTCACCAATCAAGCAAGTCGCCCACCCAACCAACCAATCAGCAAACCACATCCACATACACCCGTTCCATCCCCATGCACCCATACATACACCAAAATGCAACTCTCGAACCCTCGAACCCACAAACAATCGAAGCATCTAGATTTTCAAAGTTTTCAAACCCCTTGACTACCTACAACTACCTACCTACCTACCCACTATTCCCACCCGGCCAGGTCAGGCTAAATCGAGCGGTCTAAATATACTTGGGGGCTTAGTTGTAGGTACAAAGGTACAAAGGTACGATTGAACTGTGGTGTGCTGCTGCAAGAAAGAATGCCACAAGACGGACAAGAATTTATTAAAAAAAAAAAAAAAAAAAAAAAAAAGATAGAAGGATAAAACAACAAGAACAATAAGAGTAAAATCATATAAAATATAAATTAGGTAATGTATATTATTACTAGGTAGGTATTATTACTACGTAATCTCTGGTAGTCGAGGGAGGTAATTCAGACAGGCAGGTAGGCATGTACAATCTATGTAATCCCACTCATTCACCCACTCTCCTCATCACAACCACAACCACAACCACGACTCAGCAAAGCAATAAACACCAGATTTGAACCTTTGTTCCAAAATCTCTTCTCTCGAGGTATAAAGCGCCATTCCATTTTCCATGCCAACCAATTTCCAACCAAGAACAATTCGATCCAAAATTCCCTTTCACTCCATTCCATTCCCATAAACACGACTCCTGATTCTCGTTTCCGGGTTGTCCAGGAGAGAAAGAAAGACTGTCATGTAACGTATTACCGTAAAAGACAATCCTTGAATACCCTTATGATCCCCAAATTTGGGCCGAAGGAGGTTGTAAAAGATGCGATCGTAAAGTCATCATATCATGACACGATCCAGCTTCTCGCCTTGATCCTGCGCGCATCCTCATACGAAATTCATATGTTCATCATGAACCATTAAAGGATCCACAGATCTTGATAATCTCTCCAAATCCAAATCCATATCCACATCTTGATACTCTCCACTCAACAATCCCCCAAATGCTATTTTCGTCTCTCGACTTAACATCGATGTACCTCCTAGCGGTCGCTCACTTCCAATTCCCATGACCAATTCCTCACAAAATGGTATCTCAACTGGTGTAGGTTGTGGTGTATTTTCTCCTTCAATTCCCTTACAAGCCTTCCCACTACTCATCGGTCTACCCATTCCACAATTCTTCATCGATTGTGTCCAATCTTGCATACAATACGATTGTAACGATTGTCTCTTTGCCGCTCTCGCCATACTCATCTTCGCTTCTTCAATAATTTCCTCTTCCCAAAGTGGTAATAGTCGATAATTCAAATTTTCCATAATAGCTCTCTGCGTAAAATTAATCTGATCACAACTCCACAATCCTCTTGCCCATTTCTGCGCATAGTAAAGAGTGGTTCCTTGTTGATCATCTATAAATTTCATCGCCAATATGAGGGCCGCGAGAACGATCACTTCGGGATGGGTCGAATCGATGTGTTGTTCTTCTGCACAATGTGGACTTGGGAAGTCGTATTGTTCGAGTAATTGATCTTCGGATGATTCGAGAGGATATGAGATTCGCCACGAGCGAGCAAATCTAGAATTGAGGGAATCGAGGATGCAGACTGCGAGGGCGAGGATTTCGATTGGTAGATCGGCGCGGGTTAACAGGGCGTGAACTAGTTGAGTGGAGGGATCGGTTAAGGAAGTGGAGGAGGGGATTAAGTTTGTGAGATGGATTGCAGGACCTAGATTTTGAAAAAGAGATTAGGCTAAATGTTCTGCAGGAAAAAGGATGATGGTGTGCATAATGACGGAATAGATTGGGAAGGTTACTAGGTGTACATACCTAAATAGTCTGGATCAAGGATTTCATCGGAGCTGAAAAGAGATATTGGTGATTGAGCTGCCGTGGTATCATAGGAATGAGAGGATAGAGGTGGGGTTGGTAGATTTGAGAGTGGTACATAAGTTTGTTCGAAGAAATCCGAATCAAAAGAATCGAATGATGAAATGGATGAGGATCTTTTGCGCGAAGACATTGAGAGTGGTGGAGACATTGTTGGATTCATAATTGAGGAATTACAATATAGATGGATGTATTGTCTTTGTATTTGTATTGTAAACGAGGGAGGTTGGTTATGTAGTTTTGAAGTGAGTGTGAGGGTGAGGGTGAGGGTGAGGGTGAGCGTGAGAGATCGAAGGAAGTCGTTGGCATGTATTGGAAAATGTAGGTGTGTGGAATGTATAAAGTAATGTAGGAAGTCGCATCAAGGCTTTTATGTAGATATAAATCCTTATGATGATGAGGTGATTCCAATGTTCGATTTTCCAATCACACTCTTTTGGACTGAATGGGAATGAATGCCCAGGTGGATGTTCGATTAAAGAAGAATCCTTTGCCTCTCCTTTCCCTTCTTCATGCAATGCAATGCAATGCAATGTAATGCACGTTTGAATGGACTTTCTTTGGCTTGCTGAAAAGATTCGATTATGTTGTATTATAATTCTTAATTGAGTCTTGCCAAGTCGAGGATGAGTATTCTTTATGATAGAAATGAGTGAATTCGAGAATGAACGTTTACTTCACTATAGATGTTCTTCTTCTTCTTCTTCTTCTTCTTTTGTATATCCTCGTATCGTAACACAGGTAACTCGAAACTCGAAACACGAAACAAAGTGAGTGAAAGTAATGAGCAACGAACGAAGAGTGTAAATCAATCCTTTATACTTGAAAGATTGCACGATTGAAAGATTGAAAGATTGAAAGACTGTCTGAAGCAAACTTACATGAATCAAAATAAAAAGAAATCAAACGAGCGGGATTATCAGAGCTCTATATACTTAATTCATGGTAATGCACAAAGTTCAAGAAGATGAAGTTCGGTGTAAGGAAATGGGGTGGATGAGTTTATTTTTTATGGGGAATTATATAAATGGATATAAATGGATATATATGGACATATATGGACGTATACGGACATATATATGGAAATGAGTGGATATAGACGGATACAGATGGGAGATGGATCTGATTTTGGATGGAGATTATTATGATTATGGTAAATGTGAAATAAATGCGAGGTTGAAGGATACGGAAAGCGGCGTTTTTTTGATGGGTGTTTCTAGTCAACCTGGGTTAAAGCTTTCTTGGTTCAATCTGAGACAAATCCAAGCACAAACCATTTATTTGATTTTTCTTCTTTGACGATTAGATAGTGACGGAGGAGGAGGCATTTCATCTGATCCATTGAGTGAGCATTGATTGAGTCAGGTCTTGGGAGAAGAAAGTATTTTGACTCTACTCTCTTGACTCTCTTGACTCCATAAGTATTTTAGTAGACGACCCAAGAGAAGATACTACCACCGCCTTCCCTCCTCCCTTTCCCCCTCTTCATTCTCGCCAACCTTACACAACATAGAATACTTCCACCTTCTTCGGCCTTTCCGTAAGCCTTGCCTCATCACGCGATCTCTTCGTACATCTCGTCAACTCACCCGTTACATTTTGTCCAAATGGCACTCAATTGTAATCTGACATTCCGTTCATCCAATTCATCCAACCCTTCCCTTCCATCCAACCCATATCCATTTACCCATCCTCGCCATCTACCCATCTAATCCACCAAACTCAATACCCATCTAATCCACCAAACTCAATTCAATACCCAACTAACCTCGAGCTAACCACACATCAATCTGCACATCTGCACATCTGCATATCCTCAGCTCTTCCCCCCCCACACCCAAAACCTCGTACCACCATCATCCCATTCCACCATGCCCTACCAAGTTACCAAGCCTCCGAGCCCTCCCAAAAACGATCCACAGAACGGCCGCTAATCCAAAAGGTAACCGATGGCGTTTCCAGCATCCCAAGGTTCGCTGGCCCTCTTCTCGTAATGACTAACCAGTGACCACGAATTCGATCCTTCACCGTCTTCCCATCCTCACGTTTCATGCAAGAAGTCACTAGGGTCTTTGTACAGATGTCCCGTTCGTATGCAAAATTCAATGGACGTACATGCATGATACATGGGAATATCGTATTCGGTACGTACGCTATGGCTATTCTAGGGATTATGGAATGTAAATTTTACACGTGAAGAATTCTTTCTATACAGCGAGACAGAGTAAAATTTCCATTTTTCACCCATCTGATATTTCAACCTCTTAAATCATCAAAGCAGATATATCTATCAAAACACCACAAATAACCTTTAGCTACTAATAAATCCTCCGTCCAAACAAACTAAACTACCCAAACTAAAAACAACCTCAAACAAAAGCTCGCGTGCTCAGATTCCCCTCTCCATCATCTCATTCCCAAACACGAAACGATCAGCACGTCCACCAAAGCCAAAGACCAAGCCCAAGCAAACCCCCAAGAAAGAAAGAAGGAAAAAAAACCAACCACAAAACCCTACCTACATACATACATCACCAACGACCCTAAAAACTCTAACCCGACCCGCGTCCGTCCATCCATCCATCCATCAATCATCTGTCCATCAAACTCATCTAAGTACGTATTAGCCAGGAACAGAACCACACCACACCAGACCACGAACCAACCAACCGCGCACACCCTTTTCCATAGCATAACATAACATAACATAACATAGCCTAAGATCTGATCCTTTCGATCTTACCTTACCTTACCTTGTCTTGTCTTTCCTACCTTTTGCGATCAGCACGAAAGAAGAGGAGAACCCTGAATGAAGGGTAATTTTATGATTTGCTTGTAGATTCATTTGAACATCTGGAACCCTGAAAATCTCCTTGTTATTTCGTATGTATGAACCTATGAGGCATTGCTCCGTCAGATTTCATTTATGCATACATTGTACCTCGGTAGGTAGGCAGGGAGGTGCTTTATGTAAATCAGGACGTGTAAATCAAGGAACGAAAAAGATGATGTTTTCTGCACAGCCACGCTCAGTTGCAGGTAGGTCGGGTATTCTGAAAAGGAATCCATTCCTAGGTATCGTACAGACCCGACTCCAATGTGTGAGTGTACAAATAATCTCCTATAACGTGGTTTAACACCGAGTGCACCATATCACCGAATACACCACTTTTATCTCAATTTATGCTTTCTAATTTATATTATTCAATAACAATTGAATTAATTAATTGAAACTATTAAGAATCTAATAATTTAGGATCTATTACATTATTTTGATAAATTCTTGAATTATAATCTAGTTTTTCATATTTATTATAATATTAATTAGAAAATACTTTTTTATTAGGATTTCCCTTATTTTGATATTTATTATATTAAATCTAAATATTAATCTTTTATTAAAATAATATATCAAAAATCTTTTATTTAATAAATATTTCTTTTTAATATAATTAAGTTTTTTTTATATATTGATATTTACTTAATATCTTATTTGCCTTCCAAAATATATAAATCTTTATATTCAAAAGTATATTCTTATAAACTAATCTCTTTATATCTTTAATTAAAATTAATATAGTTTTGAATATAAATATAAAAAAGCTTAATTAATAATAGATTATTCAAGATTTAATTAATATTAATTAAGAAAAAGTTTTTATAGGATTTCAGTATTTAAGAGATTCAGAAATCTAAATCAAAAGGAAGAGAAGTAGATATATAAATTCAAATATTCAATTTAAAAAGTATAATTTTAGAATTAATGAAATTAATCCTATTCTTTGAAATCTATCTTTATATTCTAATTTATAATTATTATTCATATATAGTTTTACAGCTATAAAAAATTCAATTTTTGAGATATAATAAATATATACTTTTATAAACTCTTTAATTTAATATTATATTCTTATTTTAAGGTATTAAAATATTTAATATTAACAATTGAATTAAATAACTTGAATATATAGTATATATATATTTAATATTATTTTTTCTTATAATAATTCTGAAATAATATTGATTTATAACTCTTATACTTATTTATATTAGTATTCTATATTTACTCTTAATTCGATTCTTATATATTTATTAAAATATTTTAATTAGTTTAATTCTATTTATTATTTATTCATTTATTAGATATAGATTTAATAACTTAATCCATAAGAAAATCGGTTTTGATATATTAATTAAAAAAATATATTTATTTTTAAACTATTAGAAATAAAGATATAATATCCCTTTTATTATTATTATATATAATTATTATCACTCATTTTTAATTATTTGGTTATATTGCTTTTCTTCTATTATTTTGTTTAATATTAATTATAATTATTTTAGAGTATATTATACTTATTATAAAACTGATTTTATCAAAATTATAGAAATTGCAATTAAAAATACTATATTTCACCCACATATTCAAAATTATATAAAATCAATTTTTAATAAATTTAAAATCTTTATAAAAAGCTTTTTGAAAATTATAAATATAATTAAAATATATCTTTAATCTCATATAATATTTTATAAATCAATAAGCCTAAAGTTTTCTAATTCTTTTTTGTTTCTTATAATTAAAGAATATAATTTGTTATATCTTTTATACTATTTAATTTAAATGAAAATCCTTTATTATTTATATTAATTATATATTAAATAAGTATTTTCTTTTTTAAATCAATTATTTTATAATTATTTACTCGAATTTCTATATAAAAGGGCAAACTATTTATTTTATAGAAAAATATTATATATATTATATTATATAACTTAATAATTTTTCAAATACTAAGTTTTTTATTTTTTTGAATAGTTTTAATAACTAAAAGTATTTAAGTTTCTTTTCTATTTAATTATATAATAAATAATTAATAAATTATATATTGAAATTGAAGAATACAAATTGAAGTAAAAGTGGTGTATTTGGTGATATAGTGCACTCGGTGTTAAACCATGTTATCTATTTTCATATTTGTAAGAAATGTGCTTAGAGTCTTATTTACAAGTATGATAAATGACGAATTATTCTTGGAGTCTTTCCTGATACATTCATACCTAGGCACGTGCTCGGTGAGTGCTTACTGGTACTTCTCATGATGAAGGAAGTAATACATTTTGTTACAACTATCATCTATAAAACGAAATAACTAAATTTGTATATATAATATAGATATCGATATAAATCCAAGAACTCACTCACTTCCAGGTTTTTCATAGAGGAAATACAGCAAGTAGGTACTATTACTCACTCTCCTGTTACCAATATCCATCTAAACAATCACACATCCCCTCACAATCATACATAAATAAATACACACATCCCCTCACACCCCTCTCACAAATACCAAATCCCCAAAAAATACCTCCGTAAAATAAAATAAAGCCGCGATGCGCTGCCGCATCATCACGATTCACCCCACTACCTATCTATCCAGATATCCTCGAGATATCCACCCTACTACCTCTCCCCTCCCATCCCATCCCATCCCATCCCATCCCATCCCATCCCATCCCATCCCATCCCATCCCATCCCATCCCATCCCATCCCATCCCATCCCATCCCGTCCATTCCATATTGCTAGGTACTCGAGTATCGTTCTTTCTTTTCTCTTCTTTTCTTCCATCCCGCTCCCAAGCTTCAGGCGAGCAGGTGAGCAGAAAACGAAACCAAGTAAGCCAACCTCCAACCTCCAGCATCCGATTTCAAATCTCATCTCGGCTCGGGAATGCATACATAGTATTCCGTATTTGTGTAGGTAGGTACTCAGAAGATCTTGTATCTAGACAGAGAGTGAGTGAAAACTTCTTGTTTCCGATTTTCCGATTCCTATTTTCCGATTCCTGCTTTCGTGCTTTCGTGCTTACCTTCTTATTTCATATTTACCTGCTAGGTACATATCTGTTATGTTATGTTGTATATCATAATAGTATAGTACATCGTAGAATATATATGTAGTAGTAGTTGTAAGATTACAATACAATACAATACAATACAATACATCGAATAATAATAATACATCAAAGAATAATACATCAAAGAATAATACATACCGACATACACACCCGTCGCTTCACATCATCTCCTACGGTACCATCCACATATCAACCATCGCTTCGTACCTACCGCCTCTTATTAATTGAATCGTAAAGCGCGGCTAACATCACATTATATCATATTATCCCATCCCATCCCATCCGAACCCCTCGCGTCTTTCTCCATCATCGGCTCTTTGCGCTTCAAAAACTTATTTCCCTATTCTACATTCATCTACATACCCATCTACCTATCTACCTCCTACCCATCTATATACCCATCTATCTATTTAATCTCCAGATACTAACTATCCTTATCCTCTTATCCTCTTATTCTCTCAAACCCCAAATCCAAAAATCCACAAAGAAAAAGCGGTAAGTATATCTATATTCAAATACCTATCCAAATACCTACCCAAATATCAAAAATCAAGTACTCATTCCCATCTCCACCTCCATCTCCATCCACCACCACAATCCATCCTTTATTTCCTTTCCCATCCCATCCCATCCCCCTTCTCTCTTTCAATTCTCTCTTCTCTCTTCGAATATCAATCTCCACTCCCTTCCTCCTTTTCAAACTACCTATCCGTTTGCATATCTCTCCCAATTTCTCAAACCTTCCATCTACTGATACCCATCCACCCATCCACCCATCCCCTCCCCTCCCATCTTTTGCACCTCCCATCCTCTCACAAACCCTCAAACCCCCATCACCCAATATCCATCACCCAATATCCATCAATTATTGAAATCCCGCCCCATCAACCCATCCACCCATCGCCCCATCGCCCCTCAACCCATCATTACCAATTTTCTCATTTTCCACAGTTTGCACCCGTAACACAGATCACAAAATGATCTACTCGAGTAATCCCTACTCTACTCCATAGTAATCTTACCTTACATAGTACATAGTACGTACTAGCAGTTTTCTTTCTCTCTTTCTATCTCTACGGTATCTCTATCTACATTGGGATTGTGTATCAGGATTATGTATATGCTATTCATCTGGCAATCTAGAAATCTGGCAATCTGGCAGTTTACTAGGTATATACTGGGTATATACCAATGTTTTCGATTCACCTATCTATCCATCGATCTATCTATCTAGGATCTTGTGCTGGGTATTGATGAGTAGGTAGGTAGGTAGATATAAGGTATACATACAAGATATACTATTTGAAATCTAATCGATCCAATATATACAATCAGGATCAACTTTCATTCCACACGTGAAGATTATAATACAATACACTAAGTAACACTCTACTCAATCACGTCAAATGAAAATGATCTCCCTCGCCCTTTTTCCCCACAATCCCCAATCTCACTTTCCTCCTAAACCTCTCTTCCCTCTCCTTCCTTTCCCTATCCTCTCGAATCCTCTTTTTCCTCTCATAAACCGCCCTTACCGTCCGTCGAATCTGTTCTTTCCCCTCTGCAAAATTCGCTTTCGCCAGCTCCACCACATGATCGATATCATCCGGGGTATAAACAAAATTCCACGTACTCATATAATCACTAATTGCCGGATCCACGCCCTCGACCTTTGGATTCGCGAGAAACGGGAGATAAACCACTGCAATCCCAGCATCTGGTGTCATCAATTGCCAATCTTCCTTCACCGCTTTAGATAACGGTGGTTCCTCCTCGACACGTTCTTCGGTGGTCCCCACCCACACAGTACAATACCCTAGATCACCGCTATCTTCCGCATCCAAACTCCTTGGTTTCTCTTCGCTTGATACGACCCTTTCCAAATGCATCGCTTGTTCCTCTTGTGCTTTTTCCAACTTGGTTTCGGCTTCGGCAGCGGTACTGACTTGAGCTTGATCTAATTGTTGTTCTGTTTTCTCAGCTGAATCGCTTGATTTTGGCCAGCCAACGCCAATCGGCCAGCCTTTAATGCCACGCTGTCTTGCATATCCATCCACGACCGATAACCAATTATCGGTTTTAACATCTGCACTTGCGTCAAAAGCAATGAGCACGTCGACTTCTCTTCCTGGTCGAAGAAGCGGGTAGATAGGTAAATTATTGGACATTCCAGCATCCATGAGTTTCAAATGTGTACTCTCATAGATACTTTCTGGGGCTGATTCCGGAAGTTGTCCCTTCATTCCGTAGGCAAAGTTGGGGATACTAGCTGGATCGATCGGATGAACTTTACTCAAATCTTCATTTCGTCCTGCGATCATATCATCGATACTACCAAATCCCATCAATCCCTTAACCAAAGGTCGGACTTCTCTATAATAGTGACTTAAAGTAGCGCAAAAAGCACTTCCAAAAACCCCAAGAAGAAGTGGCAGTCGTAGCTCGGGTATTCGCAATCCAGTTTCTTCATGAGGAATGTCTTGTCCGCCCTCAAATTTTCGACCTAGTGCCCAAGTTGGAATTCCTGCTCCAAACTCTTCGCAAAACATTTCATAAGGAGTAATTTCAAACCATTCAAACCAAGCTTCTCTTACAGCTTTCTCCTTTGTAGCTTCGGAGGGAACTTCTGTTTGTTTTTCTTGTTCGTTAAGATCCTCTATTATAGGTATCTCATGACGAACTGCTGTATATATGGGCATCGGATTTTCACCATTATTGATATAGTCTCGTTGGTTCGATATCTTCAAATCTCGATCGTCCACACCAAGTTCACCTTTTGGTACGAGTAATCTTGCCGCTAATAGTAAACCATATATATCGACTAAACCAAATTCTGTATTACGATCTCCTTTCAGCTTTTCGACAAATCCACTCAAAAGGAACTTGTTCGTGGGTGCAGAGTTAAGAGCGGTTAATGCATCGACAGGAGAAGCGATATGAATTCCAATTCGTGCTTTTAAATGCTCAACCAATCTATCCAGACGTCTTCCACCAAGAGATGAGTTGAAGAGAGACTGAAGCCAACAACTACCACTGACACCTGCTGTATAAGTGACACAATCAAACAAACCATCCTCATCAGCCGCTAACATAGAACCTGTGCCAGCTACCAAAGCTCGCAATCCACCTCCAGATCCCACCATAGCAATACGTGGAACATCATCCGGATGAATAGATTCTTCTGGGAGGCTTAGGTATTTGGCCAGAGCGGTTTTCGTCATGAACTTTCTTTTGTCTAAAAATGCCTTTTCCTCATCACAAAGATCGTTGGATACTCGTACGGATGCAGAATAGTTGATTTCAGGATTGATGTCCGGATCTTGAGCTTCTTTCCATATATCATCTGCCAACGAGCCTGGGGCCATATTCAATTCCCTTCTCAATTTGTCAATGTATCCCGGTAGAACCTTGGCCCAATCCGGCATAATGTAATCGGAATATCCTGCGAAAGTCTCCGAAACAGTTCTCCATTGTTCGTCAGATATTATGGAGAAATTGTTGAATGTACCAATAAAACTTCCCCATGCCGAACCATCTCCTGCTGCTGCATCTTCTTGAAAAGGCAGGGCAGAAAGTTCTTTAGCATTTTTTAAAGCTTCCTTTTGTGCGCGTGCTTCAGCTTGTTCTCCTTTTGTTGGTGATCTTTTTGCGCGTGGTTGTGTAGCTGGTAAAGGTTGTACGTCAAGATAATCATTTTGATACAGGATATAAAATAGCCCTAGGACCATTATCGTGGATGTTACCCCCACCAAGGGCTTTGAATATTGAGAGTACGAAGACATCTTAGATTGTGATATCTTCTTGGATGATCCGAATAGATTTCTCGCATGTAATCTTTTGTGGTGGGATGTACAATTTCTCTTAATTAATGTGGTAGAACTTAAAGACCGACATAATGAAAGGGGATTGTGTGAATATGATTGTTCAAGTCGCAACAAACGACGAGAAACTTTTGCAGTCAACATGACGAAAAGAAATGAAACGAATGCGACTCGCGATTCGAACGAATAGCATGGGTTTCGGTATAAGAACCATGTTCTATGTTCTTGTGGTGGAGCGAAAAGTCCGGGCGGGAAGTGAAAAGAGGAAGAGAGAACGATAATGGGAAGTTAGCAAGAGTGTGTGCAAAAGGTGATATAAGAAATCTCATCTGCCTTGGAAATATTTGGAGATTGGGTGGGACATGTGGGATGTGTGGCTGTGGCTGTGGCTGTGGCGGTGGTTATCAATGACGTACGCCACACATTGAAATTTGCTTGTGATAGGTAGGTACCTCGGGAGGTAGGTATTCCTCCACAGGGTGAAAAGCATTGGAATTGATTATATGTAGGTATGTGCTCGGACGGAGAATGAAGATATATTATATATATATATATATATATATATATGATATCCACGACGACATGTTTTTGGTGAGTCCGCGGGTGGGTGAGAGAAGATGATTCAATGATTCCTTCCTTGTCTGGTACCGAGTATACTTACACATGGATTGAATAAAAAGTAATAATAGATACATCAAGCCAAATGCTGGTACTCACCCTCCTACCCAAGTAATATTGCGTGGGTCCTACTGAGAAAAGAAAAGGTCAAAAGGTCAAAAGGTATCATGGGGATGGCAATGGGGATCATGAGATGAAGAGACTGTCATTTTCAATAGCTCTGTAGATAGATACCCAGATAGGTAGTCATGGTTCCTTCCAATCTCGATATGTGTGCTACTACCATTAAAACATCGGAATATTCACTGGTCTCGGAAATGAAGATATACTTTTTTGCTTCTCCCTTTTACTACTTCTTTCCTTCATGTGCTTCTTGTCCTTCTGCTCCTCCTCTTTCTTCTTATTCCTCTTCTCCTTCTTCTTCTCCTTCTTCTTCTCCTTCTTCTTCTCCTTCTTCTTCTTCTTCCTCTTCTTCTTCCTCTCCTCTACCTTTTACTTCTTCATCAATCTACACTATCATCCACATACATCATCATAATAACAAGTACCTACTACCTCTCTCACGCAAACTTGATCCAACCTGCTGGGTACTAGGTACATATTAATGTTCTTCAAGCTCGATCAGAATCTCCACGTACAGTCCTGCCATCTTCCACCGCCTTTTTTGATCACATCAAGTCTAGCGTCCAACCCCCACAAATGACAATATGTACTCCGTACCCGTTGGTAGAAGAGCTTGGTCACTCACATCTTCAAATATGGCTGTGGGCTTAGGAGGACGACAAGCTGCCGACGAGGAAGCAAGAGCGGAAGTCGATGTATTGAAGAGTCGCTTGGAAAAGACGAGTCAATTGACAAAGAAAATTCAAGCAAGTTTAGGAAGATTAGACGCGACAGGAAAGGGGGTGCAAGAAGCTATTGGGCCAATTTATGGTAATACTCAAAAGCTTCAAATCTTAGGCCAGAGTAAGTTTTTGACCACCCAACCTCCTCAACCCATTCTCATACAAATGCGCAGATATCGACGGAGTTATCGCGGCAATCGACAGAATACGACAACCATCAGATATCAAAAGCAATGAAGAGGATATCATTAGGAAAGGGTATGTCGCATTACTGTTAGCAACCTGCAGACGTCACTAATTCATCATAGCCCCGAAGCAGTCGGTTTGGCGGTTTTCCTCAGTTCTGTTAAGCGTGTTAACAAAGCTCTCGCCGATATGAAACGAACGAACCTACGATCAAACCAACAGGCCATGGTTGAGCTTAGCAAATTATCAAAGTCGGGAAATACACAATTGGAATCATATTTTCAAGGGCTTCTCCAAGAAGATTCTCAGCCACTCGAACCTTTACACTATATCACCAAGAATCAACCATTTCCTCTGTTGTCTCAAGATAAAACCACAAGATTGGGTCTTATTACAAATTACATTGGTTCCGTTGTTCGTCAATCTGGATTTGTTACGGAATCGCCGGTTATGCAATCATATGCAAGTGTTCGGGGACCTTTTCTGAAAACCACGTTACAAAATCTCGCCTCAGCATCGATGAATACCGCAAAGAAGAAGACACCGGATGCTATGTATCGACAAGGGACTAATGGAATTGGAACATATGCGATGGGTATGGAAGGCGCATTTTTGGCTGAATACGATAACATATGCGCTCTTTTTACTCGCGACGAATGGGGCAAAGTTTTCAATTTGACTTGTCAAGGAGCCATTGCGGAATTATCACGAACCCTTCGAGAATTAAATAACCACATCAAGTCAAATTTGACAACCGACTGTTACCTTGCTTATGAGATTGTTGAGATTATTTCAAATCTCTCTTCAAATCTGGAAAGTAGAACAGGAGAATTAAAACCTTCCTTCGCATCAGCTCTCAAACCGATTAGAGAAACCGCCAAAGGATCACTAGCCGAACTCCTGGATGATACTCGACGAAAAATTAACCTTCTGCAGACATTACCTCCTGATGCCGCCACGGTTCCAATGACTACCGAAACCATGATGCGATTACAGACTATGGTTGAATTCCTTCGACCAATCTCAAGTATTATGATATCTATCGGTGATGGTGGTTGGAAATCTAGTGCCACACCTCAAGGTTCAACGGACCAAATTCCTAGTCTTAAGTCTTTCGATGTTAATGCAGATGGAAAACAAATTTTTGCACATTACTGCATCGATACGATCGAAGCTCTTCTTTCGAGTTTGGATCAAAAAGCGAAAGCATTACTCAAAGGTGGCAAGCCTGCTTTAGGAATTTTCATTGCAAATAACGCGACAGTTGTCAAGCGCATGATTGAAACGAGTGAATTAAATGGATTACTAGCACCAAAAATGGGAGAGGTGGAAAGATGGATCAAATCGGGCACAACTCTTTACTCCGCTGCATGGCGTGAGCCATCCGGTTATTTACTGGACGTTCAATACACAAACCGTGGCAACGTACGCCCACAATCTGGCTCCGGCAATACTGGTATCGACAGCGCAGCAGTTGTTAAGGCTCTGGGTTCCAAAGAGAAAGATCAAATCAAGGAGAAATTCAAGATGTTCAATCAATCTTTTGATGATTTAATACAGAAACATAAGTCATTGATGATGGAGAAAGAAGTTAGAGAACTTTTGGCAAGACAAATCTCAAGCTTGATAAAACCGTTATACGATCGGTTTTATGATAAATATTATGAAATTGATAAGGGGAGGGGGAAGTATATTAAGTGGGATAAAGCTGCTTTGAATGCTGTCTTTCTCAGTTTGGCATGAACATTTCGAATGGGCAAATGAGGGAATTCGAGGATTACCCGGTGGTTGGTTGAGACGAGAGCCTTTCACAACGCGATTAGATTAACACATATCAAATATGTCGGTTATAGCGTGAATGAGCTCATAAATACTTTGGCGGCTATCATAAAGATGAATCTGGAAAGGATTCTTAAAGTTATTAAAGACTTATCGCGGGATTTTGCTCTTGGGGATTGCAGAGAAATAAGCTAATTGGACCAAACAGTCCGGTGGGGTGGGGAATGTCCTTTTTGATTTGATACCAACTTGAGTTTGAATTTGGGTTAACTGGGTTCTTTTTAAGCTGGACAAGGAGTTTTTTATTTTCCTGGGGATTCGCTTGCGTGGGGTATACGTGCATGCATGGTGGGATTTTGCAATTTGGAGGATCAACTATGTATCTTATCAATCCATATGCGTTGCGTTGATATTTTGGGATGGCGGATTTAGGCGAGGAATGGATGGCATTTCTAACTTTGTATTTAGGGTGATATCTAGAGATATCGTGTTGTACTATATTATATTATGTGGATTTTCCTCTGCGGATATCGATACTGAGTACGTGAAGATGAATACGAAATGTCGATATTGAGTACTTGCAGATACGATACGGTTCCATCGACTGCAAATTCTTCGTCTGTTTGTTCCTTGATATTCAGGATAGTTGTGATGATTAGGTGCACGGTTTTATAGGGAGATGGATGGGTATGTGTGTGTGTGAAGATAATGGGATGTGGTATTTGGGAGCTAAAGAGTCGGGAAGCGGGGAGTAGGGGAGTGGAACGTGAGGGGTGGTGAATTATATAGGTGAATTAGGCAGTTGGAACTGTGATCGAGGAAGGGAAGAAAAGGAGAGAAGGGATGGGTATAAAAGTTCTTCTTTGATCTTTTTACATTCTGTGCAAAGAGGTTTCTCCGGCCCAACTCCTAGAGTATGGATATGTGGATTTGTCTGTTCCATACCGATTTGATTCTTGAATTTATGTTTTACTGTGAATATTCGACGAATGAGTAAGTAGTACGAACGTCTTTTCTGCTGCAGTAACAGCAATGGAGGATTTTGTATCGAGTGACATTTGTTGTCATTGTTGTTGGCGGAGCTTGTCACAGGATTTTTTGTGGATCAAGATTCCTTTTCCATTCGACATAAATGATTTAAACGAAGATACCACAGAATAAAGATTAAAGAAACAGTCGTGAGTTCAAGTTCGAAGGTGTAGTGTATTCTTCTGGTATCACAGTATGCGAAGTTGAATGTTATTCCGCCCCTCATGCGCACAGGATAGCAACATCGCTGGGGCTGTGGTTTAGAGATTTGGAAGTGTATAGGTTTTTATAGAAAGATGGGAGATGAGATAGGAAAGGAGTGATAAATGGAGAGGAGAGGTTAGATATTATCGAGTCAAGAGGAGGGAAAGTGGGGTGGGAAGAGAATTAGTACATGGGGTGAGTTTGTGATGCACTCTAATATGTGTATAAAAGGCCAGTGATATTTCTAAGTCCTCCTCCTACACAAATCAAGGTAAACACGGCAAATGCGAGAAACATGGTCATTCTGTAGAAAGTCGCAGCTTTTACTTGTATCTAGACAAGATGGCCGATTCGAGTTCAAGCAATGAACTCTCTAGAAGTAGGACTGCATATTTTGGGATCGAGGGATCATGAACAACCAATCTTTGTCGACAGCCAGAGGTAATAGCATGACAGTGAGAAAGTATTGCTGTTCATTCAATGAATTTGTTCTTTCGGGAGATTGAGATTCTTAAATCATTGATCATCTGGATCACTTACCCTGCCTGTTTTGAATATTTGATAGAGTATGGTTTAAAGTCAATGACGAGAATTGCGAATACCAAATTACCAATATGCAGAAAGGAAAATTGGGAAGGCAAAATGTTGACAATGCAAATTTGGTAATTTACTTTCGTTTTCGTCTTGTTCACTTGTTCAGCGATAGACACTGGGGAAAGACGATACAGGGGCACTTCTATCGTATGAAGCGAGGTCGAATGATTTAGACTGGAAATTAAGGAAGAGATCGATGGATCCATTTGGAGTTGCTCCCGAATGACCGAATTTCCAAAATAAGAGAGCTTCAGATATTTCCCCTTTGATGGGTTTTAATAGAAGACAAGTGAATGGAAGAGGAGTGTTTGTTTAACAGAAACCTGATTTTACTGTGCTGTTGCACTCGAATCGTATCTTATATTGACTTGTCAGTATCACTCATTATTTCTTTGATCTTGCAAATATAAATATACGTCCACATTTTAGATTCTCTACTCTAACCATTCTGTATAACAATGAGACCGGCATACCCAGCTATGGAGCTACAGATCAGGAAGAGAAAAACACTTCGTATGCATAACCCCTATTTCATTTTCAATTTCGAGAAGATCTAGATTATGTGTCACAAAATTCTAGACTCTAAAGATAGTTGAGGATGAGAGTGAAGATTGAAGATTGACAATATTAAACCATCAACGATGAGAAGACTTCTTAGCAGTTTATGTATCATATACGAGGTCGTTTGGTGCAAACAACACACCTACTCACATTGAGCTACCATTATATTCGAAAAGATAATCTATATCAAGATTTGAATTCGAAATAATCACTCTCCTAGACCTCACAGTTTTCAGTGATTTTATCTCGTTGAATTCCAATTTCGCATAGGGATACATGTGTCTTTATAGTCACTACCAGGAATCTCACTGGAGACATTGAAAGAACGTTTC